GGGAGAGGTCCGGGGGTCTGGGGGAGCTTGGATCAAAGTTGGGGAGCCCACAGGACTGGATGCCTGAGCTGGAGGCTGGAGATGCCCTTCAGAAGTGGGGAGAGGTCTAGGGGCTGGGACATCCCTCTGTTTAGCTGGTGTCCGTCCCACAGAGGCCAGGGCTGATCCCATGGATACTGGAGCCAGGGTCTGTTCCTGAGAGGGCGATAGAATCGGACTGGGCATTGGGGAAGAGTGGGAGGGGGGCTGTGGGCGCTGCTCCTCGGATGCCAGGGCCAAGCTTAGGCCTGAAGTGGCCAGTGCTGGCTTGGGTCCCACGGAGACAGGTGGCACCTGCTTCTGATCCCTAGGCACTGGAGCCAGTCTGGGCCCCAGAGCGGCTGGAGGCAGCCTGGGCGCAGCTGAAGCAGACATCACCAGCTGCCCCAGGGAGGTCGGAGCCAGGACCGAGCCTGAAGTGGCTGGAGGAGGCGTCCGCCCAGCAGAGGCAGACATCAACTGGCCCACAGATGTTGAAGCCAGGCTGGAGCTGAGGCGGGCAGGAGCTGTTTTCTGCCCTCCAGGGGTAGACAGTGGAGCCAGGAGGGGTGGAGGAGATGACAAAGCCAGTCTTGGCCCCTCTGAGGAAAGTGGCCCGGCAGCACGTGGCCCCAGAGGTGCCAGAGCCAGCCTTGGTTCCAAGGGTACTGGGGCTGCCTTCTCCTTGGCTGGGAGCTGAAAACTTGAGTCCACCTTGTAGAGGACAAGTTAAAGACACAGGGTAACCCTAACCAGTGGCTTAGGCCCCGACTTCCATATAGACCCCAGAAGATTCCATACACCTAAAAAGAAAGGTACATCTTTCCAAGGAAGTTCTTCCTGATTTCTTACCTCAATCCATCCTGCTGCCCATCAGCTTCTCTTTGGGGGGAAACAGGACACAGACCCTTATCTGCTCTCTCAAGTCTGACGCCTCTTTCAGAGATGGGGAAGCTAAGACCCCTGACTCAAATGAGGCAGAGTGTGAGTCTGAACCTTCCTGGTCGGCACCCACTCCCTGCCCGCCCTGGAGGGTTGGGTGGCTGGAGGCTACTGACTTGACACCCGGATCTGCTCACTCTACACCTGAGGTCCAGCGTGTTCAGTACTCCTTCCTCCTCCCCAGGCCTCAGGAACCCTCAGGTTCTCCCCACCAAACATTTCTAGCCTTGGTCATAGCCCTCTCTGTCTGCTTCACCCATTCCCAGAGCTCCACGCAGGAGCAAGAGCCGGGGTCTGAGAATGGCCATGCCCGCCCCAAGCCCAGCTCTGTGTGCCCTTAGGCAAGCATCTCTCTGCCTAGGGTCTCCGTTTTCCTGTCTGTAAAACAGAGGAACCTGGGGAAGGGTCCCTGGCCACACCTGGTTCCTGGGAAACCTTAGTCTCATATTTCCTGCGTTTATGAGCCCAACAAGTGCTAGGGCTCCATTTGAGCCCCGAGGAGTAGTCCGTCTTCACCAAGTGTGATTCTAACGTACAGAGCGAGTCCAGGATTCTGTTGATTGTGGCATCACCCTGCTCTGTGCCCAGGTTGTACCCTCTTACCCTCTTCACCCTCTCCCCCACCTGTGAGGACAGGTAAGCAGGTAGCCTCCTTTTGTCCAGCAGGTGGAGTAGAGGTCACCCTGTCCAGTAAAGACCTTTTCCTTCCCCATCTGTCTCCTGTTTCAGACACCCCTGTCTCCAGAAAACAGGATAATGTCCTTTGCCAGGGAGGGCAGGAGATTTACACTTGCCCTGGGATGGCCCCATCCCTGCCTACAGAGATGTGGTCTGTCTGCAACCCGTGCCCTTCTCGGTTCAGAGAACCTGAAACTCTGCTTCCACCGCCATCCTCAAACTCACCTCTTTACGGATGCATTTTGGGCATCCTCCTTGGCTCCAGGTATCCCACTATGCACCCCCCGCCCACCAATCACCATGCCGCCTCCAGTACTAACAACTTAGACATCCCAGATGTCACAGTTTTAGTCTTCAGGGACAAGCCTCCTCATTTTGCATTGTCTCAGAGAGGACAAGCAACTTGCCCAAGGTCACACAGCAAAGCTGGAGCACAGCTGGGTCACTTAACACTCAGTCCAGTGTTCTCCTGCAGGATCCTGGGGATAGCTAACTCCATTTCTCTCTGAGTGTCCCATCACTGCCCCCTCAGGCCTCAAGGTGCCCTGTTCACCCATCCCTGCTCAATGGACAGAGGAGAGTGCCAGTCCCTCAGCCAGGGTCACCAGGGTGCCTGCAGTGTTTGTGTGTGGGGTGTGGAGGTTACAGCCTAAGGATCAGGAATGGGGAGGCTAGATTTTAGGGGTCTTACCTTGGAGGGTGCTCCAGTTTGGAAAACCCCATGGGGCATGGGCAGGGGGCCCAGGCCAGCCAGGGTCCCTGGCCTCCTGCTGCCACTGCTGCTGTGGCCCTCCATGTCTGCAGCCCCTGGCAGCCCGGGCTCCCTCAGGCTCTAGATCCAGCTCCTCCGCTCCCGGGGACCAGTGATGTCATCAGCCGTTTCAACCTGCTGAGAATTTAAAGGCACAGGCATCCACTTCCCAACCTAGAGGTGGCCAGGACAAGGTGGCCTATCCCCTGACTGCTGAAGCTGGCACAGTCTTGGGAGTGTGGGGAAGTGTGCCTGCTGGCTTGGCCGGAGTTCCACCTGGCAGCATGGAGTAAGCTCTGTCTGTACCCCTCTGCTACCCCGCCAGTAGGCCTGGTTGGCCCTTGCTGAAGGGAGGGGCATTGACACACCTGAGGGAAAAGTCGAAACAAGTAGCTCAGCGGTCAGCACCCTCTTCAGGGCCTCCGGGACACCTGAGTCTCTACCCTGATCCTGTGACCTTCCTGGTGCCCTGCCATCTCAGGACTTGCCTTGGCCCCCACCCTTGCCCCATTTCCAGGCCTTGATGCCTGCCGCCTGCCTGGCTCTATTCTTCCCATCCCAGAGCCAGACACTCAGGCTCCAGCTACTGGAGTCCTTTCCCATTTCAGCCTCAGCACTGCCCCTTCTCCTCTGCAGACTCCTTGCTGCTTGCCCTAGGACTCCCACAGCCAGGCCCATCCCAGCCCAGTTCCCCTCAGCTTTCCTCTCTCTGTACTCAGTGGGTGTGGTTTTGGAAAGGCTACATGGTCAAGGTCATCTACTAAGCTAGGGAGGTCTCCTGCATTTCAATGAGGAAAGGGAGTGCCCTCAGTGACGCAAGACAAGTATGAGCCAATTGGGGTATCTGGAGGAAGGAAACTAGGGTGGAAAAGGACCAGCAGCGGGAGAATGAATTGGCAGGAGGGTCCTGGGAGCCCCTTTGGCCAGGACCTAGCACAGACCTTGGTCTCCAACAGGCCCAGGGTGATGATTGTTGAATGAATGAACAAATGAATGAATGAGTGAATGAGTAACAAGGTTCAGGGATGGCCGTGGGCCCTTTGCCACTTCCTCTTCCCTATTATCATTCTTATCTGCTAAGCAGTCCCTGAAATCCCAATTCCTCCAGAATTGCTGGATTGCTTAGCGTGATCCTGCTCAGTTTAGGCAGATAATACTCAGTTTTTTGACCAGAGCTCCCTGTTAGGCAACAGCCACCTCTGCATCTTCATAGGCCTGTGTGGTTCCCGACATGAAAGTCATGTGGACATAGGATTTTCTGTCCCTGGATGGGCTTTCCACCTATCTCCGGGTCTATTCTGTGTTTCTGGGCCAGCAACTCTGTGAGGCTGGAATTGCGGAGATAGAGACACAGATCATAATATCACGGCCCTGGCATAGAAAGGTATTTGGATGGTGATAGTAGAGGTGATGATAGTGGTGATGGGGGAGGTGACTAGTGGTGGAGATGATGACGTATGTCATTGTGATGATGGGAGTGCAGGGCTGACAGTGATGGAGGAGCTGGTGGTGTTGATGATGGTGATGGAAGAGGTGATAACAAAGGTATGGATGTTGGCGGTGGTGAAGATAGAAGAATGAAGGGGTGGTAGTAATGGTGAGAAGGGTGATAGTGAAAGTGGAGGAGAGATGGGGGCAGAAGAGGATGTTGTATCGATGGAAGAAGAGGTGGTTGTGGAGCTGGAGGTGAAGGTGGGGTGGTGGTGAGGGAAGAAGTGAGAGTAGACATGGTAGAGGTGTGCAGGCCACCAGAGAGAGAAGGAAAACTTGAATGTGCCCTGTCCAGCCCTCTGACTCCTATTTCACAGATGAGATAATGGAGACACCCCTAATAGTACTGGGCTTCTCATGCAATCCTGGTCCCTTGGGACAAGGCCTTAGGCTCAGCCATGGGGGCTGGGACAAGGGCATCAAAGTCCTTTGGAAGCCAGGCAAATGCCATGCAAATGAGCGTGTGGAGGGCTACTTGGTGCTAGCTGGGCAGCCCAGGATTTTCTAACCTCTCCTCTCCCTGAGGTCAGATCCTACAGGAAACTTTGTTTCTGGCCCTGCTACTCACTGACTTGGGAAGTTCACTCAGATTCCTGACTTGTGTAAGGGAGATAAAAACAGCTGATACCTCCTAAGGTGGCTGTGAAGGCTCAACAAGATAGTACATATGGAGTGTTGAGCACAGAGCCCGGCACAAGTAAGGTCTCAGTCAGGGTAGCTGCTCTGGAGTTCTCATTATCAACATCATCATCATTATCATCTCTAACATGCCCATTTGGTGGATGCTAAAACCGAGGCCCAAAGCAATTATATCCCTGGGGGGCAGGGGAAGGGACTCTGAGACCCAGACATGGCCTAACCAGGGGAAGGAGGTGGGGGGCGGGCCCTGGCTGAGAAGGGAGCCGGGGGAGATCTATATTTGAGCTCCTGGTGTGATGACTAAGGAGGTTGATAACAGGCTCCGGGGCTCAGGGCGGCAGGCCGGGGGCAGCTGCCAGGGAGAACCGCCCCCTGCTGCAGATAGCTGGCTCCCTCCCTTCCCTCACTGGAGGGGGTGGGGTGTGTACTGAGGCACAGGGTACAGCTTGTCCAGCCCCCTTTTGGAAGCTCTTAGTGCTAACCTTCAGGCGGTTTGGGTTGGGAAGAGGAAAGGACAGAGTTGGTGGTTGGCGGATTATCATGGTTACTCTCCATAGTAACCCTGAAAGGTTGGTAATAAGATCCCCGTGTGACAGAGGAAGAAACTGAGGCCAGTAGGGGACAGAGAATGGGGTTCCCAGGGAGATAGTGGATAATTCCTTCCCACAGAGGTGACCATTGAACCCCTTCTTCGAAGGTGAGTCCATGTTGCCAAATTGAAGAGGAGCAATGTCTTGGGAAGCAGAGGAAGAGCAGGTGCAAAGGTATGGAGTGTGGCAAGTTCTGTCTGTGAAAGGATGCAAAATTTGGACATACACCCTCATGGCCCTTTGGCTCAGAGTAAATACATCATGAGCAGGTATATACACCTTCCTCTGTCCTCCTCCTCTTCCTCTATCTGTCTCCCAGGTGCTTCTGTGAGTGATAATGGTCCAGAAAGGTCTGTCCTCCCTTCAACCCCTGGTCACCCTGCCCAGGCCTACCGTAAGGGAGGTCACACTGTGGCCACTGAGGAATGGCTGGAGATGCGGAGGGTCCCACATATGAGTGTACTGGGGAAGGTGGAAAAAGTAAGTGTTAGGGAGAGCTTCCTGCATGAGAAAAATGCACAGGGTATGGAGGAGCATTTCTCCTCCCAAGACTTCACTCCAGGGTTCCTGTTGGTACCAAATGCCACATGTCATGTCACTGTCCCCTTGTTCTCATCCTCTGGGGTAGGTGTCATCTTTACATCCCACTTGCCCCTGCAGGAAATGGGCTCAAGGAGGAGGACTGACTTTCCCAAGGTCACGCAGCTGGGGCTGAGGCTCAGGCATCCCTCCTCCCTCTCCACCGCTCCCCCTCCTCCTAGGCAGCCTGGCACCCGCTGTCAGCTGCTCTGAAGTGAGTGGCTATTTTTATTCTGGTGCGAGGGGATCTCGGGCAGCAGAGCCATGTAGGTTAGAAGGCTCTAGGACACCCGGCTTCAGCATGCAAGGAGAGACTTATTGCAGGGACATAAGCTGGCTTGGGGGCTCATGCTGGCTGACCTGCCCTGGGCTCCCGTGCCTTCAGAAACTTTTTTATTAGACCTCAGAACAGAGCACAGAGCCAGATTCAACCCTGACTCTGATTCCAGATCCACCTTGAGCCCCAGTCTTGGTGTTCACTGAGCCCTCCTGATCCCGTGCCAAGACTGAGCCGCTACCTCAGCTCTAGACTGAGCTCTGACAGTGACCTTAGATTGAGCCCTGACTCTGGTCACATACGGAGCCTGGTCCAAGCCTGACTAAGGCTGATCCCAACTTGAGACCTTGATTCTGGACCCAGATTGAGCCCTGATCCTCACCTAAGACTGAATCATAATCACAGACTGAACTCCCACCCTAGTCTCGATGAACCTTTGACTTTATACTGAGCCTTAACCCCAAGTTTAGGCTGAGCTCCAAGTCTCGTCGTTAACTGAACCCTGAACCTGGTGGAAGACCGAGTCCTGATCTTGTCTACAGACTGAGCCCTGAGCCTAATCAATGGGCTGAATCCTGACCTCAAACTGAGCTCTGACTGGGTCACACAGCTCTGGTCACACACTGACCCATAACCTCAGACTGTCATTGAACCTGGTCATAGACTGAGCCTTGATCCTCGTTGCAGAGTGAGGCCCACGACTAATCATGGAGCACCGACTCCGGCCCCAGACTCAGTTCTAACCCTGGCGTTAGGCTAAGGGCTGGCCCTGATCCTGTCTGAGCCTGACCCCATCACAGACTAAACCCCAAACCCAGTTCCACCTGACGAAGCCTGCTGGCCTAGATTACAAATTGCCACATAAGGGAATGGATTACGATCAGAGATCGTTCTGGGAGATTCTGGGCCTCCCATGGCTGCTGATGCAGAATGTTCCCGGTACTGTTGTGGCTAGTGTCTCTACCATTGGTTCCACTGGCTGGATAGTCAATCCTCAGCAGCCCAGGTTGTGGGCCCTCCAGGCCGCAGCGTCCAGGTTAATGCAATGAAAGTGGTTTGGTGGCATCTATCCAGTGAACAACATGGGCCCACAGGGCATTGAGGCTTGGTTCTGTCTGCAGGAAAACCACAGGCTCTATCTCCATGGGGCCTCAGGCTTTAGCCACTTGGAGGCCCTTGCTGGGGTATGGGGTCAGGTAGAGGGAGCCCATGACATGTGTCCCCCTCTTTTTTTTTTAATTCTCACCCAAGGATAGTTTTTAAATTGATTTTAGAGAGAGGGGAAGAGAGAGAGAAACATCTATTGACTATCTTTCGTATGTGCCCCAACAGGGTATCAAACCCGAAACCTAGGTATGTGCCCTGACTGGGAGTCCAACCAGCAACCTTTCAGTGTACAGGACAATGCTCCAACCAACCGAGCAACTGGGCCAGGGCCATTGATTTTTTTCAACAATGTTTACTCTTTGTGTTTAGGTAATAGATATTTATTATAGCAAATACAGGAAAAGTGTAAAGAAGAAAACTTTCACCTATAATTTCATCTACCAAGAAATGGCCATTTTGATTTCTTGGGTTGTTCCTTCTAGATTTGGTTTTTGGTCTAGGCATATGTAGGGCGAGGCAACAGTATGTTTATAGTTGTATGTGAAACAATTTATTCTTGTATTATCATTTACTAATTATTGGATTATTTTGTATATAAACAATTGTAAACCTCTTTTGGCCACACCCTGTATATTGACATATACATATTTTATGAAATTGGGCCCTGGCTGGCGTAGCTCAGTGGATTGAGTGCGGGCTGAGCATCGCAGGTTCGATTCCCAGTCAGGACACATGCCTGGGTTGCAGGCCACGGCCCCCAGCAACCGCACATTGATGTTTCTCTCTCTCTCTCTTTCTCCCTTCCTTTGCCTCTCTAAAAATAAAATAAATAAAATCTTTAAAAAAATTAAAAAACAAAGAAATTGGTTGGTTACTCTGTTGCTGCCACAATGTCCGTTACAGCCCATATCCTTGACGGGCTTCGGGAACGGGTCCCAGTTGGTTCAGCCAATGAGTAATTCCCATTTTTCCAGCCACATTACTGGATCATGAATGGACTAATGAGCTACAAGGAGAGTTTTTGGGAAAGAAAGTTCATTTACTTTCCTGAGGAGATGGCCCCCCCCCAAAATTACCCCTTAATTAGATGTGAATGAAGAAGTGTGCAGTCCTGGGGAGTGCTGGCAGCCATCCTGACACCGTGCAGGTAACTGGCCTAATGATCAGCTGAAACTATGGAAAGAAGAATGGGGAGAGATCAGGTTCTGATGGTTTTATCAAGTGGATTAAACTTTGCCTAAAGCCCTCCCCACTATTCAACTATTTTGTTATTTGAGCCAAAAGATGCCCTTTATTAAGTCCGTTGAAGCCCAGAGCATCATGACTCCCAACTGCTATTGCTGTTTGGTGGCGGGATTTTTTTAACAACGAACACTTTTCATGTCAATCAACACTATGCTACACCATTTGAAATAATTACGTGGTTCTCAATCCTATGGAGGTATCATCATTTATTTAATTCATTCCCTGCAGTGACATACTTAGGTTATATCTCCAGTTTTTCACCATGATAAACTGTTTTCTTTTTAAAGATTTTATTTTTTTATTTTTAGAGAGAGGGAAAGAGAGGGAGAAAGAGAGGGATTATTGAAACATCAGTATGTGAGAGAAACATCAACTGATTACCTCTTGCACACCCCCATCCTGGGATCCAGGCCACAGCCCAGGCATGTGCCCTAACTGGAAATCAAACCCACAACCTTTTGGTTTACAGGACTACACTCAACCCACTGAGCCGCACCAGTCAGGGCTAAACTGTCTTTTGATAAACAAGCTTGACCTAACCATTGGCCCCCTCTCTGATGATTACTTTGGAATGAAGAAATGACTAGGTTGAAGAAAATGTATATATAAATATAAATAAATAAATAAATAAATAAATAAATATATATATATATAAATTTATACACATAAAAATCTCCTAACCCAAGGAGAGGCTTATTGATTTTAGAGAGGGGGAAAGGGAGGGAGAGAGGGAGAGAAACATCAATGTGAGAGAGAAACATCAACCAGTGGCCTCTTGCACGTGCCTCAACCTGGACCGAACCTGCAACCTAGGGATGTGCCTTCACCAGGGAGCAAACCCACGACCTTTTGGTTTATAGGACGATGTTCCAACCAACTCAGCCACACCAGCCAGGGCCAAAGAAATATTTTTAGGGTTTTGATTATTGAGTCAAATTGCCCTTCAGGAGCTTGGATGAATTCACACTTACACAGCACTCAATGGAATGTTAGGCTTAGCCTATTATGTTAAAAATCTGGATAGAACCAATTATATTTATAGTTTCTTCATCTGTTTATGAAGTTTCATGCATCCATCTATAAAGAATGGATATTACATAATAGGTCTAGGCCCATCATTATTGAACCTTTATAATCAAATTAGTGAATGGGAGGTAGCAGGGTGAGCAAAGGCCTTAGTGCAGACCTGACATCTGCTAGGCTCAATGTCTAGGGTCCATGATACTTTTAGGTGTCCAGGAAAATGTGTTCGTTTTAATCTCTTTTAAAATCAGAAGAAAAATGAATATGTAATAGTGAATCCAACCTGGATTATATTCTTTTTTTTTTTTTTTATCAAAGCAGTTGTAAAATCCAATTTTTAATATATTTTCTTAATGGAGGAAGGGGTTCAGAAAGGCAAAAGTGCCTAGGGTCCATGGACATCATAACGCTGCCTTGGTGTGATGTTGGGAATTTTGAGACCCAGTCTAGATTCAGTGGAAAGAGCACTGTGCTCAATTTGCCGAGTCTTCCGTAGGCCTGAAGAGGAGAGATGGCATTCTGATCCAGTTGTCTTTGTTTTGGTGAGAAGAGCCCAGAGGTATTTCGGGTTCAAATCTCAGATCCACAACTTAATCACTTTTTACCTTTCTTAGCCTGTTTCCTAACCTGCCAAACGGGGTTCATAGGGCTTTTATGAGGTAAAGAATGAAATAATGAAAACTAACATCGTAGCAGGTACTTTTCTAAAACGCTTTATGGATATTAACCTTTTTATCCTTCCAGCTCCTATAGAGTACGTAATGTACCTATCGCCACAATATGTGCCCCAAGGAATTGAAACCTTAATCGAAATTTCGTCCAGAAAGATAAAAAACAAACAAGAATTCCCCGGGCCTCAGTTTCCCCATCCTGAAATCCGGTGTATGACTTAGAAACCCGTGTCCAACCGCATGTCGCCCGCGCCCCCTACAGGCACGAGGTGGCGCTGTCTGGCGACATCCTGCCAGAGCGTCCACTCCCTCTGTCGGCAGAGGGAGCATAGACATCCTTGGGACTGAGAAAGTCCAGGCCTGGGGGCCGGAGACGAGCCAGAACCCCACTAGGAGCAAGCTGGGGGATGCTTTTGCGGGCTTGTAGACCAACACCCGGAGCTGGGGGCGTGATCTCTGGCGGGGAGGGGCGGGGCCTCGGGTGGGGGCGGGGCCAGACCGCAGGCCCAGACGTGGCGCAGCGGCCCGGCATTTCACCTCCCGCTTGCTGATTTTCCTCTCCCGGGTTCCGATGCGTCTCCCGCTGCCTCCGCTGCTGCTGCTTCTTGCGGCACTCGCTTCCGCCGCCACAACCTTCCGACCCGACTGGAACCGTCTGCACGGCCTTGCCCGAGCCCGGGTAGAGGTGAGTGTTTCGGCCCCTAGCCCGAAGACCGCGGCTCTCATGCCCTGCGGCCCCTTAGCCTGGGCACCATCGCCCGCTGTGGCCCCAGGACCCTCCCGAATCCCAAGTCCCCTTTGGCTCTGGGACCACCCCTCCTACTTCCCAGCCTCTGGACGGACGCCCCAGCACCCACCGTGGAAGCCCGAGACACTCGATCTTGCGGCCTGGAAATCCGAACTCCTCCCCAGCTCCCCATCAGATCAGACAGCGGGCCCCCAGACACATTGACGCTGTCCCCTAACTCTTCTCCTGGCCTATGACTCTTCCAAGCCTGCCCTCTGGATCTCAATTTCCCATCCTTCCCCCCACCCCCCATCGCTTCACTTTTCCCTGGAATTCCTCCCGCACCGCAGTTCCATATGGTCTCTCTTCCTTCGCCTGGGGGAGGGAAGACTTTCTGGGTGTCTTCCCCCACCGTTCAGGAGCCAGGGAAGGGGGCTAGGAACTGCATTACCAATACTCTGCAGCAGCCCCTCTACCCCTACACCCTTCCGCAGGGAAATTCTCCACCAGGATCCCTGTCTTGCTGTGTGACTTGGATCATCGCAGCCCCTCTCTGGGCCTCAGTTGTCTGTCTGAACAAAGAGGCTGGAGGAGGCTCTGACCGCTGTGACTCACTGGGTTGAGCGTAGTCCTGCAAACCAGAAGGTCCTCAGTTCAATTACTGGTCGTCAGGGCACATGCCTGGGTTGCAGGCCAGGTCCCCTATTGGGAGCATGCAAGAGGCAACCAGTGGATGTTTCTCTCACACATCAATGTTTCTCTCCTTTCCTTTCTCCTTCCCTTTCTCTCTCTCTAAAAATAAATAAGTGCAGTCTTTAAAAAGGTGGGGGCAGGAGGAGGAAGGACTAGAATGGGTGGTCCTGGAGTCTGGAATCCTGCTGGGAGGTGCCCCTCTTCCCTCAGGAAGTGAAGGGGCCCTCCCATCGTCTCATGTTGGTTAAGCAACCAGATGGTCTATGGGGCTGCCCCTCCGGTGGCAGGGAGGGCCAGCTCTGCTTGGGGTGGGGTAGGGACCAGATGGCAGATGTCTCTAATGGGGGTGCCCAGGGCAGTTCTGAGCTGTTTCCTTCTGGGGTGCTCCACCCTGAGGCTCTAGGGGCCAAAGGTGAGGCCCAGGTCTCTACTCCCTGAGAGGAATGGGGTGACCATTTCTCTTGGACTCAGTCAACAGTCAGCAAGATGTGTAGGCAAGAGTCCCGAGGCCCTCGTGTAAGTGCCCTCGTGTCTCTGGCCTTGCCCTCTTTGCCCTTGGTATTACCAGGCCTCAGTTTCCCTGTCTGTACAGAGTCCCCCTTTCTGCTTACAAGAGGCCCCCATCTCCCCCATCTCTATATCTCGGGAACTGCTGGAGTAATTAATCCACAGCCTGCCCCAAGTGGGAGATGACAGTGAAATGGCTTTGGGGGTGTGCTTGGGGCAGGTGTGAGGTTTTCTTGACCCATGCCATTTTGTTCCCCTCCAGACCTGTGGAGGATGACAGCTGAATCGCCTGAAGGAGGTGAGTTTGAAGGAAGAGGTCCCAGCTCTGTCTTCCCTGAGCCTCTTGGGGGCAGGTGGGGTGGTGGGCAACATGGTCCCAATGATTGGGTCGGGGAGGACCTCTGGGCTGGTGTCAGGAGCTTGTACCTGACTGGCTGTATCTCGCTGGGCTTCATCTTCCCTTTGCTACCTTGAGGGGGTTGGGGTCTGATGCTTTGGTTTCTCCCCAGGTGAAGGCCTTTGTCACCCAGGACATCCCACTCTAGTATCCTTCTTCGGTTCTGGGGGAGGCAGAATGGGGAGGGAATCTGGGAGAATCTCCTTCTACTTAATTTCGCTGATAGGATGAAAAATGGTTTTCATCTGACAAGTAGAATTGATTGGTAGTGTCTGCTCAGAGAATTCCAAGGTGGTCTCCAAGTTGGGTAGGCAACGGAATTGACTGAGGACTACCACAGACACGGGAATGGAGAGGAGGGCCCTTTGCTTCTGTGGACCCTCATTTCCTCACCTGTAAGTGGGGAATCCCTGCGCTACCTCGGCAAACAAGGCTGTGCTGTTCACATCAGCAAGGCCCTGGGAGCCCCTGCCTGGCCCACTACTACCCACCTTAACTTTCCAGTCACAACCTCGTAATGAAACACCTCCCGGGGGCCGACCCAGAGCTGGTGCTGCTGGGCCACCGCTCCGAGGAGCTGGAGGTGAGGCCTGGGAAGTGGGCGGGGGTGGGGGGGGGGAGGCAGGGGGCGGGGCAAAAAGCAGCCGGTGAGCTGACTCAGTCCCTCCCCTTCAGCGAATCCCGCTCAGCGAAATGACCCGCGAGGAGATCAACGCTCTGGTGCAGGAGCTCGGCTTCTACCGCAAGGCAGCGCCCGACGACCCTGTGCCCCCCGAGTACCTGCAGGCGCCTGCTAGGCCTGCTGAAGGCTCTCCGGACCGCGCTGACCTGTAGGTCCGGGAGTGCGGCATCCCCCTGACTGAGCCCTGCGGACAGAATGAAGCGCTCAGTGTCCCGGGAGCACCTCCCTCGCTGAGAGCAGAAGCCTCGTCCTGGAGGGAGCGGGCAGGGATGGAGTTGGGGGTTCCTCTCAATTCCCCTTTATTCTCTCCCACTAACCCCCTTTAGGTAGCTGCACTAAATCTTCTTCCGTCTTTAAGAGATTTGACTCCTTCTTTGCTGTGGGCAGGTGGGGAGTAGGAGTCCCCCTTCCCTCCATTCAACCCTCCGAAGAGAGGCAGAGACGAGTCACGGTCCTTGAAAACCAATAATTTATCAAAACGCTGCTTGTGTATGCGAGGGAGGGTGTCGCGACAGACAGGGCAGCTGTGGGCTGGCTCACAGGGAAGGGAGGGTGCCTGGATGGTGGGGGCAGCTTGCCGCGGGCAGGCCATGCGGGCTGGGAGGCTAGACATTCTTGCCACGCAGGCGCAGCTCGTGGCGCCGCAGGTGGTTGTACAGCGACTGCACATAGGTGAAGACGCACTTGGGGTCGGGCTTCTTGCCCATGATCATCATGTCCTCCACATCCACCAGGGGAACGCAGTCCACCAGCATCCTGCGAGGAGGGGGGCACAGGGGTGGTTGTCAGCGCGGGTCCAACTCTTGCGGTGGCCCTCTCTACTCGAAGGTCTTTTCGCTGCCAAAGTCTGCTGGTTTCCCATCAATTCCATACACTCGGTCGACTGAAGAGGTGGGAGCCTTCCGGGAAGGCAGGAACCCCCAAGTTCTACCCATCCAAGTCTGGAGGGATTTTTGTTGGGAGCAAGGCCAGGCAGGTGGAGGTGGAGATGCAGGAAGAGAGCTGTGTCCCAACTCAGACAGGGCAGGGTAGGTCCTGACTACAGATCCCAGCCACTTTTCTCTGGAGGACCCCCATCTGCTCACATTCAATGGCACACTAGCTGTCACAAGCCCCTCAGTTGGGCCATTGCACCAGAGGGGACTTATCCCCGGCAAATCTTTCCCTGAAGCCAGGACCTTCCCAGTGACACTCTGCACCTAATTATCCATCTGCCAGCTCCCGGGCCTTGTACTCCTGCAGAGAGCCCCCACCCCCGAATGCCTCCAATCCCTGTCCTGGCTCCAGGGGACAACCATTCTGTGTGAGATGGCCTCAGTGATGTGTGGGTGGGTGATGGGGGGGGGGGAAGGGGCAGTTCTTTAACCCTTATTACCCCCCTGGGTAGAGCAGGGGAGGCAGATGCGGGTCCTAGTCAATACAGACAAGACTATCTGTATCATGCTCAGGGGCGGGAGCACCCTTCTGTCCATCCGCCAGAGTGCTAGATGTACCTTACTCATAGGGAAACTGAGTCACAGAGCAGAGGATTCATTTGTTTCAAGACCCACAGCTTATTATGTGTAGGCCTGGGCCTGCTGGGGTGAGTAGGCTCCAGCTACTAAACGACTGACAGCTCCAAACCTCTAGAGCTGGAGTTTGCTCCCTGGTTCCATTTTCCCTCCTCTTCCAGAGCAATACCTCTTCTTCTGCCTTTGCCCCTCGCATCTGCCATGACTGACATATAGTAAGCACGTAGTCAGTGCTGTTAAGTGAGTTTCCCTTGGCAGCGAAAGCATAAGGGCAGGAATTGCTCCTGTTCCCAAGACACCGAAGGGCTCAGAACTACTTCCAATTTTGTGCTTTCAAGGTCAAACCTGGAACCATGGTAGGGCTGAGGCCCATTCCCAGTTCACTGAACTGCTTCAGAGAAGAAGCCTGGGAAGGAAGAGACCTTTTTTATTCTAGGCTCTATCCCTGGCCAGCTATGGGTGCTATATAAAGCCCTGCCCTTTTCTGTGACTCAATTTCCCCCTCTTTATAGGAACAGTATAGTCATTCTCTTGCCTCATTTGAGACCTTGGAAGCACTTAGGATGAGCGAGCGGTTTCCAACTCTGTTGCTGATAGGATAGGTGCCCTTGAGGTCAGCCGGGCCCCAGAGTGGGTTTGTTTTCCCAGCTGTACTACGATGGAGACGCAGCCTCTTCCTGCATCTTCTTCCAGCTGTGGCTATCTTCCCAGGGATCCCAGCCTTCCTCCCCCAATGTGGAACTCCCTCCCATCCCTGGTGTCTTCCCTGGAAACCTTATAAAGCCATTGTTTACACTGGGGCTCACGCTCAGGGCTCCAGCTGCCCCAGTGACAGGCCAAACACCAGGCAACTTGAGCAACAGCACGGCTGAGTCACACTTTCCAACTGGATCAGGGCCGGGTTGGGCCTCTTTCCCTCCAGGCCAGCCTGCTGGGCAGCAGCTCCTAAGTCCATATATGACCTGGAGACAGCACCAAGCCCATCCTCCCTCACCTGCACAGCTCCTCTGAGAATATGTATGCACATGTGAGCTGCCCCCCACAATGGCTCCGGGCCCTGAGGGGCATCTGCATGCACCTCTAGCTCTGTCCCTGACTCACCTTACTTCAGTCAATACGCTTGCTCCCTCTGTGTCTGTCTCTTCTCTTTACAAAATGGGTAGGAAAAGTGATGGGTCAAGGTAAAGAGCCACCAAGTGGGGGGTTAGGAATTCTAGTTTCTACCCCAGCTCTTACCTAACCCCCACCCCTACCCTGGGACACTCTGAGCCCATCCCTCTCCTTCCCTGAGCTTGTCTGGAATGGGCAGTTAGCTCAGGGTCTGAATTCTCTACTGCGGCCCTGAGGTGACTAGAGAGGAAATGCTACAACTGGCTTAGGGATCCAGGACCCCAACCAGAAACATTTTCCTGTTAAACTGGCCCTGCCCCTGAGCTCCCAGCGTGGAGCATGGCACCTCCAACTCCCCAGTGCCCAAACTGCAGGCCTGGGAGGTTTCCTTGACCCTCCTGCTGCCTCCCCATCTGGATCCATCAGAAAGACTGTCCTTCTACTTCTTGTTAAGCTTCTCCAGCTGTGTAGTCCCCCCTTGCTCCACATCCCTCATCCAAGGAGCACTCTAGAATGCTAACCAGACCACAAATATCCCTCCTCTGCTGGAAACCTCTTATGACTCTTGTCCTCAGGAGGAAGGTCAAACATCTGTCTCTGGCCCCCACCTCCCTCTCACGCCCAGACTAAACTTCCTTCTCTCCCTGGGGGTGCAATGATCTCTCTCCATCTCTTGCGCCCAGCTTTGGATGAAGGCTCACCCCTCTCTCTGGGACTCCCTTCCCTTCCTTTAGCCTGAACTTTGTCTTTCAGATACCAGCTTAGTTTACACTTTTTTCAAATAGCTGTCCTGGACCTGCAGTGTGGGTCAGGTACCTCCACCGGGGCCACTCCTGGGCTTCCTCCATCTCAGTCCTGTTCACCTGGCTCATCACTTCCCTTTTAGGGCAATGGCCTTGCCAGAGGACAGGCAGGGCCATGTCTGGCTCCTCTGGCTCTTGTCAGGGTCCCCCTGCTTCCACCACCCACCGCCCAGGCCTCTCTCTGTGCCCCGCTGAGTGTAGGGGGCAGGTGGGCGAGGAGGCGTTTCTCACCGTGGGGCCTGGAGCAGGGGTTAGGACTTTTTGGTTTTTACCAGCCCCTTCTGGACCAGACAGCGGTAGAACTCCTGGATGTACGTGTACACGCACTTCCAGTCAGGCTCTCGAAGCCGCACCATGTCCTCTGTGTCCAGGAGCTGGGGGCAGTCCGCATGGGTCCTGGGGAGGGGAGGGGGCCGGGAACGGGTGGGGAGGCGGGGCCCAGGTGGGGAAGAGGGGGAAGAGGCAGAGGAGAGAGAGGGAAGAAGAACGGAGAGACACACACATACACACACAGAGACATGAGTTCAGTTACATTCTCAGTGCTGCAGTCTGCCAGCCCCCCGCATGCCCCCTCCCCACCGTGGACGTGCCGCTCACTACCCATTACTAATGGTGTGCGATGCAGACAGGGGTGGGGGGCCAGACCAGTCACAGGTGCAGAGAACTCTCGGGGCAAGCGGGAACACGGGGTGGGGGCGATGGCGATGGCAATGGCGCCCAGATTGGAGAGGAGGACTGTGCCCCAGGGAGGGGGGTGAGGGAGGCGTGAGAGGAGGTGGAGGGGGGAAGAACAGAAAGATATCTGGGGGGAACCAGAAAGAGAAAGGCAGAGAAGAAGAACAGATGGAAAAGGGTGCTGAGGGTGAGGTGAGCAGATGGGGCAACGATTCCAAAGTGGAGGGCTTGCTGATGTCCTATATAAGCCTCTCGCAACACCTATATAGGCTGGGCGGGCAGGGTGCCCGGGCCAGGAGCCTCCTTTTGGAATCTCCAGCCGGGATCCCGTGGGAGCAGGAAGCTCTGGTGATAGTGAAAGGAGAGCAGGACAGAGGAAGGGAGAGAGGGAGCAGGGGGCAGAGGGAGGATGGAGGGGATATGGACAGGGCCACCTGGTGGGCCTTGGCCTGGGCTGGTAGGCGAGCCTGTGGCTCCTTCGTTCCGGCGGGCACCTGGCACACTCAGCGTCGGGTAGGCGGGATGGAGGAGGACAGGGCCTTACTGGGGCGGGGTCTCTCAGCCACTGTCTGACAGTGCAGCTGGCCAGCTTCAGCGGGCCTTGGGGCAGCTGGGCCTGGCCCAGATGCCCAGCCCCGGATGCCCAGCCAACACCAGCAGGGCTGGGGCCCACACTTACTCAGCGGATGAGAAGGCCACCTCAAAGTTCTGGCGCCGGTTCTGTGGGCTGAGCTGCCCATAGTCAAAGGCCTCAGGGAAGAAGTTGTGCACCAGGGCACAGAAGGCCATCCCGTCACTCCAACTCGAGGAGAAGTTCTGGATGTCCACGTGCTATGGGTGGTGGGAGGACTGGTCAACTCCCCCATGCCTTCTACCCCCGAGGATTTTGGCATGACAGACCTGCTGGGCTCAGAGGGGCCCTATAGCTTGTCCAAGGCGACAAAGCAGCTGGGTAGCGGGAACATGAGCCTCCTCCAACTTAGTCTGTCAACTCCCATGTCTGCAACTTACAGGAGCGGCGCAACCGAGAGGCCCAGTGCCACCCAGCTAAGGCCATGCCCCCATCACACCTTCCCTCACACAAATTTATCCAGTGCCCCCAGAGCAATGGGGAGGGCACTCCATGGGTAGCATCTGGGCCTGGACTGTGCCTGCCATCCAAGGGGCCCTTGTTAGGTCCTGCCACTTAATTACTTATTCTGGAATTTAGGGCATGTTATGTATCCTCTTTGAGCCTGCTTCCTATTAGAGGATTTCCCGTCTTTCCTGCCAAGCATGGTGGCTGTGAAGGGTATGGGTTGGATAGAAAACGTTCTGCCAAGAGGGAGGTGTCGAGCTGCTGTCTAGGGGACTGCCCACCGCCTGGCCTCACAGCTCACCTCGTAGCCACGCGTCTTAGCTCGGCACCAGTCCAGCAACATCTGCTTGATGCTGTTGGCGTTGGGGACCCCAAAGCTGGTGGAGCGCTGCACAGCTGCTCGGGGTCCGCCAGGGCTGCTGCGGGGGTATCAGCAGGAGCTGGGTCACAAGACTGTAGCAGGCTTCGCTTCCGTCAGCCCACCCAGTGGACCCCAGCTCCACATTCTTTGATCTTTAGGCTCCTCCAGCCCAGCCCTTTCTGTTCACGGCCCACTCATCACTTCCCACGCCCAGCCCCAGCCTCATCCCTACCCCTCATCCTCGCCAGCCTGCTGCAGCTCACCCTGCCGCGCCCTCCTTTTCCAGCTTCTCAATCATGGCCTTGCGTGCCTGGGAGGCCGAGGTCTTGGGTAGGCTCTGTGCCTTCATCAGCTCTTTCTTCTTCTCCGCCTGGCGTTTTTCCAGCGCTGCCAGGCTGCCAGCTCGTGAGCTGGTCTCATCCTCGCGGTCAAAGATACTGGGGGATGGGGAGCTGACTATTAGGGTGTTCCCAGGTCTCAAACCCCACTCACCCAGGGAGGGGTCTTGTCCCATTCCACACCCTACACTCTTTCAGAATCTTCTCTGGCAACGCCAGCCAGCAAAGGAGGCTTCCTCATCACACCATTTTACAGAGCTGAGGCTCGAACGAAAAGAAGACAGGAGTCAAGGTCTTTTCAACAGACTTGGCCTATGGATAGTTCTGTGAGAGGGCTCACTGTATTGTCAAGTTACATGTGAGCTCAGATTTTGGACATTATCAACTAATGATGATGATCGGCATAATACTAGTAATGGTGATAATAATAACAGCTCCTGTCTGTTGAGCCTTTGCTACATGCCATTTAAAACTTGACAAGAGGAGAGAAGGACTCTTATCATTCACACTAAAGATAAGGAAACTGAGAACCCTGTCCTCCGATTTCCGAGGGTGTGGGGAGCAGCGCAGGGACTTGGGAACTCAGGTCTCTCTGACTCTGAGTCCCTGGACCCCTCTGGTTCCTATGCTGAATTCTGATCCTGTCCCCGCTTCCTGGCAGCCCCAGCATCTCTGTAACATAGATAGAGGGGTACACGCCTCCCTCATGCGTCTAAAGTCTAAAGGAGCTCTGTGACATGGGACCTGGTCTGCAGACACTGGGAAGTGACAGTGTCACCAGGCATCCCAGTGTAGCAGATAGGCCTCTCTGAGGGTTCGACGCTATTGTTGCCATTCAGAGCTCTGTGACCCAGAGCCAAATCTCTGGCCTCCCCCGTGGTGTAGCAGAGGACTCGGTGAGATCACAAGGTGAGCAGGAGTGGTCTGACGCTTACTCCTCCCCTCCCTGGCTGTATACCTATGACGTCCCAGCTCCTGGGTCTACCCTCTGTAAAGTGGGTGTGCAGTGAGGTCCCCTGTGACGCTGACTCCTCTGTGGCCTGGGGGTGGGTACCTGTGCTCACCTGCCCATCTTCTTGGATGATGAGGAGGAGAAGGTCTTGGTCTGCACCATGGTGCTGCCACCACCATCTGCAAGAAAAGCGAAGAGGAACATGGTGAGGCCTGGATTGGATATCAGCAGATGGGGGGGGGGTGGTACAGGGAGGGATGGTGGTAGCCACAGGCAGAGTAGAGGAAGTGACAACTGGACAGAGAAACACAGAGACGACAGTATGAAAAGAGAGATCGAGGAAGAGCCCCGGGAGGCAGGCAGGCAGGTAGGCACAGGGCGCCGTCTGGTGGCCTTACTCTCCGAGCGCCTCACAAAACTCGACTCCACTGTGGTGGTACGGGCCGTCCGTGTGCCATCATCTGGAAGGGCAGGGGACGAGAGGAAGGACGTGAGAGGCACAGGGGCCACTGGGGTAGACGTGTCCCCACCCTGAGCCCCGAGCCCTGTTGGGCCCCTTACTGGAGTGGACGAGCCGCTCAGTCTTGGTGACAGTGCTGACTGATGAGCCATCGGCTGTCCGCTGGCTGTGCCTCGTGGTGGTCTCAGTGGCCATGTTGCCACGGCCATCCCCTGGCCGGGCCCGTGTCTCTTGTAGCCGCCGTTCCCGTTCCTTGTCCCGCTGGTCTGGGCGGGGGATGCCCCATGCATGCCCAGAGGGTCACCCATCGCCCACACAGCACACACGCACGGGCACAGGGGCACACAAGATGGGGTGGAGGGCAACTTGTTAGAAATATGAAGACACAGGGTACAAGGAGCAGCTGGGGGTGAGGGAATAGCCACAACTTGGCAGGGAATGGTGGGGAGGGGGGTTGTGCATGGTGATGGACTCAAACTCCAAGGGGGAATATTTGAATCTAAAAAGGGAGTTTCTGTGGGACTGAGTAGCTGATCTGGAGGGAGTATCTGGACCCAGGGAGGAAGCAGCAAAGTCCAGGGAAGGAGAAACTGAGTGAGGGCAATAGTTGAGTGGGCCTTCAAATGGGGCTTAGCCAGAAGAGTGCTAGAGGAAGAAATAGCTAGATCCAGGGAAGGGGAAGTCAGAGGTACCTGAGGAGCAGTTTGATCCAGGGAAATAGTAGTTGGGAGAGAAGGTGGCAAAGTGGGTAACTGGGCCTAGAGAAGAAGTAGGCGGGTGGAAACAGGCTGGGTGGCCATCAGTGGGCCCTGGAGGAAGTGGCTAGGTGTAGAGAAGAAAAAATTGAGAGTATCTGGAGAAGCAAATGAATCTAGAATCTGAGGGAAAGAATAGCTGGGTTCATGGAGGAAGTAGTTCTGCTCAGGGAAGGGGAAGCTGAGTGAGGGTAGAGACTAAGGTGATCATCAATGGACCTCAAAGAGAAAAGGAGCTGGGAAAAGGAGTATCTGGAATCGGAGACAGAATTGTTGACAGGACTTGGAGAAGCAATTGGATCCAAGGGGGAGTAGCTGGGTGGGAGAGTAACTGGGTCTAGGAAGGAGAAGAGAAGTTGGTTGGGGATAGTAACTGCAGTGGCCAGGGGGAGAGAAGCAGCTAGGGAAGGGAGCAGCTGGGGGAAGGAGGCAAGGGAACAGCTGGGTCTACAGGAGAAGCGGAGTAGGGCAGTTACTGGGCTGGTGTGTTTATAAACGGACCCTAGAGTGAGGGGAGCAGCTGGGGAATGGAGCAGCTGGATCTAGGTAGGGCAATGGGCTATCTACCTCTCTTCCTTTGTCGGAGGTCACGTAGTGCAGCCCGAATAAGCTTCCGCTCCTGGAAGTCTGTAGTCTGATCCAGCTGCAGACAGACCCCTGTCATTGCCCACCTGGTGCCTGCTGGTCCCTGTCCCTGCCAACCCCCAGCCACCAGATCTGGCCATACCATCTTGTCTAGGATGGCCTCATCCTCGATGGCCATCAGCTCCTCAGCACTCAGTGGGCTCCGCCTCTCTGGTGCTTTGTCCACCCGGGTCTGCTCAGCACCATTGGCCACTTCCACTGCTACAGAGGGGGGCTCTGCTGGCTCTGGTTCCATCTGCGGAGTGGGGAGGGGGCATAGACTTTAATCAGAGGCCTAGATGCCAGGGTGCCAGGCCAGCTGCTGGTACAGCCTTGGAAATAATCACTAGTCAGCCAGACTGCCTGCCCAAGGGTGGACATGGAGGTGTCAGGCTCAGGGAAGAGGCACTGAGAGCCTTGTTGTAGGGTTTCCCATGTACCCAGGGTTGTATTAATATAGTCAGTAGTGGCAGTATTGGTGATTGTCATGCAATAGGAAGTACTGTATAAGCACTAGGGATTTTACTGTCCCTATTTAACAGAAGGGAAGACTGAGGCTCAGGGCAACTCAATGACTTGTCCACAGTCCTCCAATAAATGCAATGAAGGCCAGATAGGAGCTAAGGTAGCCTAGCTCCTGAACCTGAGTTCTTTCTACTGTTTCAGTCCCAGCCCCCTTGGAGGCAGGCTGTGCTATCCTGCCAGTTTCCAAGGCTCGGGTCCTCCTGGGCCAGTGCCCAGGCAGCAGATTCCCCTCCACCTTCCCCTGCACACACACCAAGGAGGCTGGACTGGGGCCCACAGGCTCCTGACCAGGTGTCTGACTGGGGCTGCTCAGCGCCAAGTCCTCTCTGAAGCTTGCTCCTACTCCCCGCCACCCACTGGGAACCACCCTCTAAGGGGCCTCCAGCCCCAACCTAGGGCATCTCCCTAGCACCTTGCAGACAAGCCCCCAGCCCAACTATCACAGCCCCTCCCCTCCTGGCAGGGCCTCTCTGCTATAAGGGTAAGAAGAGCTGAGGTGGCAGCTGCTTCAGAGAGGCTCAGCCTGGCTGGGGCAGGGGGTGGGGATGGAGCTGGGGGCTGGGCCCTGGCCAGGGGCTGCCAGGGCAGCTGCCACGCGTGCCTCAGGGCCAGAAGCCTGATACCCTCTCACCTCAGTCTTAGAGTATCAGTGCTCCAGTCCCTTGTATGGATAGGTAAACTGAGGCTCAGGAATGGTGGTACACCTAAGGTCACTCAGCAGAGGCAACTCCTGGCTCAGAACCACCCCCACCCCCAGCCCACAGAGACTTACAAGACTGCTGCTGTGGGCAAGGCCGGCAGAGGAGCGGCGGCGGGTGCTGAAGGCAGGTGGGTGGGCCACAGGGGACCCAGCATCCTCAGCAGCCTGGAAGAGGGCCTCGGGGTCCGCAGCAGCCAGGAGCAGCTCGCTGGGCTCCAGCTCAGGCTCAAGGTCGGGCACCAGTGGGACCCCCAGCCGCAGGCTCAGCACTTCCACCTGCCTGCCCAGTGCATCCAGCCGCCGGCTCAGTGCTGCTGTCTCCGCCCGCAGCTCTTCGGCTGCCCGGGCCACTGGCTCCACGGTCGAGGCAGCTGCCTCAGCTGCCTGGGTCACTGCCACCCGGCCTGCCTCAGCCACTGCCCGCAGCTCCTCCAATGCTTGGCCCAGTCGTTCCTCAAGAGCTGCGGTTAGCTCAGACCCAGGCCCCGGTACCCCCGGCATGGTGCTGCTGGGGGTTCTATGGTGGGGTGATGATGGGGACAGTGGTAGGGACTGCTGCCTCTGGCTGGTAGTGTCTTTGCAGCTGGTCTGAGGGCGAAGGCAAGGGCAGTGGGCCTGCCCCGCCCCTGCTGGCCTCCCAGCCTGCCACCCGCCAGCTGGGGCTGCAGCCCAAATAGAAACCTATTCTGAGCTCCCTGTGAAGGGGGCTGTGGGGGAGGGGTGGCCTTTCCAAGCAGTCTGACCGACAGGGCTGGCCCTGGCCCTACAGAGATCAGATCTGAAGCACAGCAAGGCTGCGTGTGGTCAGAAGAATTACCGAGGCCAGGGCCCCGTGCCCTACGATTGGGGAAACTGAAGCAGGGAGCAAGGAAGGGGCCTGCCTGGGCCACCACGTGCATTAATGGTGAGGATCCAGCCTGCTACATTCCGGGGCCTACACTCCTTTGCCTTTCTGCCGTGCTGTTTTAGAAAGCCTTGAACAGACGAGAGAAATGGAGGCACTGGGAGGCAGAATGTTGAGCAACCTATTGTAACAAGTGTCTTGTCCTGGAGACAAATGTCCTAGGGTGCAACTGCAGACTCTGAGCAGGTACATTGTAGGCACGTTATCTGCTTTCCCTTGGCTCCCCTTGGGAAACTGAGGTGAGCAGGTGGCATCAGACCCAGGGCTCACTGTGGCACTTCCTCCATACCCGAAGGGCCCCAGCCACTCCTTCCTTGCTCCCTTAGCAGAGAGCAGTTAGGTCCTGCCCTGTGGGAGGAAGGGTGCTTTCTTGCCTCTACCCTTTCCTTGTCACTCATGAGAAGACCGAAAGCTGGCGCTAGCCATCTCGCCTCAGCCAAAGTCCCATTCAGTCCCTGGTGCGGCACAGAGGGCATTACCTGGCAGCCGGGTGGCCTGCTGGGGAAGTCTTCCCCGGCTGAGCTCCCAGCCAGCTGATCCCAGGCTTGGGAATGAATAATGGAAGGGTGCAATGTATTCGGTTCCCGTGGCACCTGCTAGGTTTCTGCTTCACCTGATTGGCACCCCTCTGCCCCATCTGTCCCCCATCAATGCTTCTTCCCAGAACCCCCGCCTAAATGTTGACGCAGATGCTAATCGCTAATCTCCAATCTTCTAAGGGCCCAGGCTGATCTCGGATGAGCAGATGATCAGCTCTGCACCTCACTGGCTGAGGTCCAGTGTGGGGTAGGAGCAGGGGCACTGGTGCTGCCGCAGAGAGAAGGGGACCAGCCCTTAGTACCTTTCCTGAGCTTTGGTTTTTCCATCTGTTCATTAGAAATGAATCAACCAATTTTGGAGGAAGGATTAGAGATCAGCATGTGGAAGCTTAAGGCCGACACAGAGTAAGCTTCCGACACATCTAGTGGATGATAGGCTAGGGCCCGGCCTTAATTGCAACCACTGGCTGTGGACTGTGGGCAGCCACCTGGTCTCTCTGGGCCTCAGTTTCCCCATTGTGCAGTGGCAGAGAAGCGGAGTAGAGGAACCCTGCTGGCCATATACCTGAAGCAGTCTATATGAGGTGGATAGTGATGCTGGTGGGGTGAGGAAGGGCTCACCTTAATGCTGCAGCCTCCTCGGCCACCAGGGGAGGCATGGCTGAAGCTGGTGATGTGAGTGACACTGCCCAGCCGGGCTGGTGTCCCAGAGCTGCTGATATGGGTGATGGTACTCTTGCTCCCACTGCTAGTGCTGAGAAGGGTGGGGGGCGCCCGCAGCCCCAGCGTGAGTTCTGGAAGGGGAGAGAGACTTCTATCAGGACCAGGTGGGGTAAGGACAGTGCCAGTCAAGGTTGATGATACCCTGTTCTTCCCAGAACACCCTTTGGACACCCTGAGCCCTGGCCACAGCACCTGTCCTATATGCAGAGCTGGGCAGCTACAGGCATTCATCTTCAGCAGTGGGGAGACCTACCTGCCCTCTGGTTGCCTGTGGGCAGCAGCACCCGGCCTGTGGGGGTCTGGCCACGGCTATCCTTGATCTCAATGGTGAACGTCGTCTTCATATTGGCCCCTGGCTCAGCAGTGCCGACAGCCACGGGCAGCAGGGCACTGGGCTCCTCTGAGCAGACCACGGCCCCCCCTGCTCTATTTTCAAGGGGCCTGGCAGCCAAGCCCCGCCCCCTGGGGCCCTCCTCCTGGGGGCAGCTCTGAAGCTTCCGTGCAGCTCCTCCTTGCTGCTCCTTGCTGCACCCAGAGGAGGTGTCACTAGGGCCCTGTGAGGAGGAGCTGCTGGAGGAGGAGGCAGGGGTGGTGCTGATGTGGGAGGGGCCCAGGAGCCTTGCAGGGGTTGAAGGACCTAGAGCCACCCGAGGTGGGCCATCCTGGAGCCCAGCAGCCATAGGAGAATCAGACGTGAACTTTCGTACACGGTCCCGAACGGAGCCGGCGCGCTGGAATGGGGAAGGTCCACTGGCATGGGGGGTGGGCTCTAGAAGAGACAGGAAGGCTGTCAGTGGCTGGGTGAGACAGGGACTGCCTCGAGCCTGGGGTAGTGGAACAGGCAGTACCTCGGTTCTGGGCCGGCTGGTGGGGGCTGAGCACGGACAGGGAGCTTTGGCAGGGATGGGGTCCAGCTAGGTCTTGCAGTAGCAGCCATGTGGGTGAAGAGAAAAGAGAGTGTATAGGGGTCCCAACCCCTTCCTGCACCCCAACCTGCTCAGCCCATCTTGCACCTCCCATAGCTCCTGGCCTCCCCACTCAGTTGCATCTCTCTTACAGTCCCCTACTTCCCCTCCTGCACTGACCACGCAGGATGACTGGACACTCCTGGGGGCTGGGGTTAGGCTTGGACTGGAGGAAGGGTGCCCAGGTCCTCCCTGCCGATGGGGATGGAGGACACCCCCCCACCCAGCCCGGCCAGCACTGCCCACAGCTCCAGCTGGGAGATGGGCGCACTCCCTTATTGGGGAAAAGAATGTGCCTGAGGCCCGTTGCCTTTCATGGCTGCGGGGAAGCCTCTGGCCATGGGTGGGAGGGGGTGGGGACACCTCGGAGGCAGTGGGAGGAGTGTTAGGGACTGCCCGGACCTCAGGAGGCTGGAGCTGTCTAGGCACAAGAGCCCATTTCCCAGGCAGGGAAAGAGGGGCCAGGGGAAGGGAAGGCAGATGCCTGTAGGTGCCCTTGCTGGGACCCTCACCTGCTCTCTTTGTGTTGGAGGGGCCTTTGGTGGGGCCTTGGACAGCAGGGGGCTCTATGGGGCCAGGCAGGAGCTGAAGGGAAGAAATGGTATGGACAGGGCCTGGCTCCCAGACCGAGGAGCTCACCTGCCTGGCATCCCTCCTAGTGATCCAGACTTACCTCATTGACCTCCTGTCTCTCAGTGCTGCGGGGGGCTGGAGTCTCCTGGGGCTCAGGGCTGGCGGCCCTGGGCGGGCTAGGGGGTGGCTTGGGGCTGCTCAGAGCCTCAGCAGCAGGGCACTGGGCCTCGGCAGGCTCCAGGGGAGGCTCAGGAGAGGCAGAAGTGGGCGAACTGTCGGGTGAGGCAGGTGAGCTGGATGTGCTTCCAGGTGGGACCTGTAGCAGGAGTGTCACTGTGGTCACATCCCGACTGGTGACTTCAGGGGTTGGGGTTGGCTCCAGGACCTCTGCCTCCAGCTCCCGTTTCTCTGGTTCTGGCACCTGCGGAGGACCCACAGGATGTGGCCAAGCCTCCCCAGGCTGTCAGGTGCTCAGGGCAGGGCATGCAAAGCAGAGGAGCTGGCCGTGGCTTCCTGCAGGCACTCCTGCACAAGCATGGGCACTGGCATGCCATAGGCAGTTTCTGATCCGCACTTCCCAGTATCTTGACACTGCCTAGTCGAGGGAAGTTCAGAGAGGACAAGATCCTAACGCCAGGGGTTGGGGATGGCAAGACAGCTGCTGGGGACTCCCAGACTTAACAGATCCCTAGACCAGAGGCCCTGGAACACTGGCCTCAGCTTGGTTAATCAGTGGAGAGGGTGGGTGTTCTGCCAGGGACACAGCGACCTCTGCTGGCTACTTAGGGGACCAGCATGGCCTGACCTCTCACCCACACTCCCTGGAGAACAGAGTCTCCTCTGTGAACAGTGTTCCAGGAGTCAGCTCAGGCCTGAAAGGCAGGCCCTATAGGCCAAGGTAAGCATGTGGGCTGTCTGGAGGGGGAGGGGCAGCTTCAGGATAGGTTTTAGCTAGGGAGGACCCAGGGTCAAGGGTCAAATGTGCATTTCAGGGAGGTGCCCCGGTCTGCTGAGTGGAGGCTGGATGGCCGGCCTTGGGGGTGGAAGGTAGTTGTGGAGGTGGGGAGGTCAGCAAGGGTGGTAATGGAGATGGACAGGAACCTGGGAGCAGTGCAGATGACTAGCTTTGAGGGAAAGGCCTGCGTACAGACAACTGTGGAGTGGAGGACATACGGCCAGGGGGAGTCTGGGAGAGTGGGCAGAGGCTGAGATAGATCCCAGTGTCCCCCGAACATGGTTGGAGCCTTTCTCAGCCAAGGACCAGTCTGCAAAGACACAGGGGTCTGGGCTGCTGGCATCTGTGGGTGCAGGACCCTGGGCCATCCTCCCACCCTGGCCACCTCTCACCTTACACCGTTCTAGCCTGTGTGCTGCCCGCCCATTGCTGTCCTCTCTTGAGCCACTGTTGGGTCGCCTGCTGCACAGCCTCCCAGCCAAGGCAGCCGCTGAAAGAGATGGGAAAAGTGACGTGTCAGGTGAGTGGCTGGGTGGCTCTATGGGCAACATAGGCAGGGTGGGGCCAGGGTAGGGCGTGTACCCTCAATCTCCTGGGCCCGGACTCGGCGGATGGCAGCCCGGATCAGCTTGCGTTCCTCGTACTCACTGGCACCTCGCAGCTGTAGGTGAGAGGCAGGCCACAGGTATTGGGCTATGGGGTTCAGGTCTTCACCTGCCCTGCCCCCATCCCCTGCCCTGGCCTGGGCCTCACCAGTGCAGTCAGTTCCTCCACATCACTCATGGACTCCAGCCGCCCTGCCAGCTGCACCAGAGCAGCCTGCTGCTCGGCCTCCCGATGCTGAGAGCTGCAGGGACATCATGCCTATAACCCTCACTGCCGTGGCCAGGTCATGGAGGATGTGGGCTGAGGGCAGGGGCCAGGACAGGGTACCCAGAACCTTGGGTGTGTGGCTGTGAACACCCTTTGGCTACATGCTGGCACATGCATGCCTGTGGACATAAGCACTAATGTCACACACTCAAACATGCTGTCCACTTGGGTGTGACCAGGGCACTATGACTGGCATGTCGTCCTTGCCCACAAACATCCCTGGTAGTCCAAATGCATGTCTATACTGCCATTTGCATACCCAGGTAGGCAGCAGATGCACCTGTGCCTGCCTGCACAACGTGAACTGAGGCCTGGCACAGTCCTCCCACCTGTGTGTCCACGACCCCCCTCACACACTCACTGCAGCCAGTTCTCCTTGTTGTCCTGCCGCTCAGCACGGAAGCGTTTGGATGCGAGGGCCTCCTCCTCTCGTTCTAGCTCCTGCCGCTGCAACTCCCGGATGGCCGAGCGGATGTGCCGCCGCTCTGCCAGATCCACTGTGACTTCCAACTGCAGAGCAGGCGGGGGCGAGGGGCAGGTCATTTTGGCTGCTAGGGGCAGAGGGTGGGCACCAGCTGCCCACGGCTTGGCCTGTGGTACAATGAGTGATCTATCTCCACGCCCTCTGCTCCAAGCCTGTCTCGTGCCTGCCCGCCCACCTCCCCACACCCTCTCAGGGTCTCAGGGGGAGACCCGGCTCACACAACTTGGGCTTCTGCACAGCTCACCATGGTTCACAAAGTGGGGAGCCAGCAACTGCCCACCTGTGCCAGCTGCTAAGCCAGGCACTCCTTCCTTTGACTCCTGCCTCTCAGAACTCTTCATAAAACCCCTGAGCGCCTGGGAATCATGGGAGGAGGAGGAGGAGGAGGAAGGCCATTCTATGTGTTCCTAACAGTGTCCCTGGGGACAGAAGGTGACTCGGGCAGCTGGACTCCACATTGTGAGAAAGAGATTCCCATGGTCTCATCTCAAAGTACCACAGCTCTGCTGGGGGGTTACAGCCTCATCCACGTTGGACTGACTGGGAAACTGAGGCAGAGGCTGGCACACAGGTGTCCTAGCTTGCTCCCCTTATGGCTGATGGCCATGCACTGGCCCAGGCCTAGCCAGGGGCTAGGGCCTAGAGTTGGGGGCGGGGGGGCAACCCCACAGACAGATATGGCAGCTGCACTAGGATTCACCCAGGGTGTCCATGGGGGACAGGTGTCTAGGCCTCTTAGCCCCTTAGTCCCTGGGAAACTGGGGGTAGCTGGTCTAACCAGGTCTAAGAAAGGGCACCTTCCCTGGGCAGAGTCAGCCAATCTTGTTACTTCCCCCACACCTCCACCCCCCACTGTGCTTCGGTGGCTCAAGGGAGAGAGGACTGCCCTAGGTCCCCAAGAAGACAATAGCAGAGATAAACCTCCAGTGTGAGTCTGAGCCAAATTCCAGCAAGAATAGTCAAGGTGATTTCCTCTGCCCCTACCCCCCAAATCACTTAGGGGTAGGGCCTTGGAACCCTCTATCTCCCTTCCTTTTCAGCCTCCGCCCTGACCATTCCTTCCTGCTCCTGCTCCGTGGGGGGGGCTGGGTGTATGGGTTTCAGCAGGGGTGTGGGCTGGCTTATCTGAGCCCTGAGCTCACTCGTACTAATCTGAGGAGACTAGGGAGAGCCCTGGGGACAGAGTCACTTAGGTCCCTTTAGGCTCCATATTCCTGGGGATCTATCGAGGGTCGGGCCAGAATCTCCAGCTGGCTCCAGGCCCAGTCTAGTCCTGGCTGGGTGGGCAGGAGCGAGTCCTTAACCTCTGTGTCTGGTTTTCGCACTCACCAGATGGGGCAATGGCTCCCACTTCAGGGTAGTGGGTGGGGATGGGGGTAGTGACTTGGACCGCCCCGCCCCCACAACCTGCTGCATAGCTCCTGCTGCAGTATTAGCCCCTGCTTGTTTCCAGCCACTTAGGGAGGAGGGAAAGGTGAGGACAAACGAGTACAAGATAACCAAGGCTTTGGTAACATTTATTAAGAATCTGTATGCCACATGCTGTGCTGAGCCCTCACTTATCCTAACCTCACAGAAACCCTGGCACTTTATTACTCCCATTTGACAGTTGAGAAAACTAGGGCTCAGGGAAAATAAGTGATTTGCTTACGGTCAAATGACCTGAGCTAGGATTTGAATCCATGTCTCTCTGACTCCAGGGTCTGCCACTAGGCTGAGGATAGCTCTGTTGCTGGAGTCTGTCTGCCACAGTGGGTATCCTGAGGACCTTGGCACTGTGTTGCCGGTTCCCTTCTAGCCTGGTCTAGAGATACCTATAAAAGGACTAAGGTGTGGGAGAGGAAGCTATTATAGCACAGGGAGGGAGAACCAGGCTGACCTTCCCACCTCCCAGCTTTGGCCTTGCCTCAGGCCCAGAGCCCTCTGTGGCACTATTTGGAGATGGAGGGCTGGAGAGGACAACTGGTCTAGCCCTCCCTATCCAGAGGTAAAGAGGCTTAGATGCAATGACTAGCCCTTTGTCTTCTGGGGCACCCTTCCCAATGCCCTGGACTCCAGAGATGGGGTCCTTGTCCTCCCTCCCCCCCAAAAAAAAGAAAGAAAGAAAAAGCCTGATGTGGGAACTTGGCCACCTTTGCAACACCTGGGAGCCTCAGTGTCTCCATTTGGAAAGTGGGAGCCTGTTTGATCCCCCGCCCAAGTGGATAGGGCAGGGCCTGGGGGATGGACAACCTCATTCCACTGGCCACCCTCCAACATGACCCTGCCCTTGGGCCTAGAGGCAAAGATCTGCCCACAGTGTCCCAGCTCTGTGTCCTGCATTCAGGGCCTCCCAGGCCCCAGCGCTGTGTGTGGAGGGGGCTGTGTGAGGGAGGGAAGGAAGTACAAAGTGCCATTGTCCACTGGGGGAAGGGGAAAGGGATGGGGCGGTTTCCGAAACTGCCCAGAGAAATTCTCCTGGGAGGAAAGAGAGCGCTTCCTTCGGGGCGGGGGGCGCCTCCGGGTACTTTCTGCCCTAACTGCTGGGGGTCTCAGTCTCCCCACCAGCACAAGGGAGGAGACTTGCTAGGTCTTGGCTCAGATCCAGCTCCTCCAATTACGGATGGAGCAGCGGCTGGCAGTGTAGTGAGGCCTCGCCAGGGGGCGCTGAAGGCCCGCAGGCTCCGGAGCCCCGCCTCCGGGTCGTCCGCCTGCGCTCCGCCCTCACCCACGACAAGCAAGGCTCTAGGCGACCAGGAAGGAACCAGACGGGAATCGTCCTGCTACCGCCTGTTTAAATAGCCCCGGCTACGAAGAGGAAACCGAGGTTCACAGAACTGAAGCAGCTTCTCCAGGTCACCCAGCTAGTTAGTGTCGGATTCCGAACTGGAACTCCGGGCTAAGGTGGAGGGGCACGCAGCACGCACGTCCCTACGCGCCCCCGTCCCCACGTTGCCCCGCCAGGTGTGCAGGAATGTGCGGGAGCCGAGCCGGAAGCGGCTGCCAGAGTCCCCGTATCGGCCGGATTGGGGGCCGGCTTTTCCTTATAAGGCCCAGCTCCAAGGGGAGGAGCCCGGCTTGGGACACCCCTGTTCCTGCCACGAGGCCGGCCGAAGCCGGGCCCGGCGGTGCGCGGGGCGGGACCCTCGGGAGCGTTGGAACGAAGTAATGGCGGGTACCCTGCGGTGGAAGAACCGGCCCGGGGTGGTAAAGACCTCGGGTGGCTTCTTGGTCCCGAGGCGAGGGGCGGGGTCTCGTTAGTCCTTTCTTTGGGAGGGGGACGGGGGTGAGCCGGATACATGCACTACTGTGGCTTCTCTGAAACTTTTTCCAGTGCCCAAATCCCGCACAGGACTAGGGGTGGCGGCTGGAGAACCCTAAGCCTCAGAAGGAACCCCTAGAGATGGGGATGCGCGGAGACCTGGCTTTTTCTCTGGACCGCTCACCGTTTACTATTTTCTTTTAGAATTCCTACTTCCTGAATGGAGGTCGAACTGACCTTTGGAAGCCCAACCCATCTCCTCCAGGCTGCACACCTCAAGCTGTGGCGGTGGCAAACACCCTAAGGTGCTTGTTTGAGGACACGCAGCCCTAGTGCCTTGGTAGATCGTGGCAGTGGCTGAGCACTGCACAATGGCTGGTCCGGGCTGGCTGGCTCCAGCCCCTGTTTTCAGAGGAATTGTAAGGGGGTGGGGTGGGTCGGGTCACTTGCCTACTCCTAGGGAAAGTAAATCTTTAGTTCCCTCCCCGGACAAGGGTCAGGGGCTGGGGAGGTGGGGCACTGGCCCTTCATCCAGTTCAGCTGTTCTCTACCCTTGCTGGTGGGCACATGCCTGTCCTGTTGTGTGCCTCCCTTCTTTGTGCACGGTGGGGGAGGGGGAGTGCTTTAGAGCACCCAAGAAGAAGCTCAGAAAGGGATAGATTGGGCCCATGCCGAATTTCGATCGCCATACTAACTCTAATATCTACATATTAGCTTCACACACATCGCTCCTCCCATTTTACAGGTAAAAAAAACTGAGGCTCAAAGAGTGGAAGGATGACGGACTAGAAATCACAGAACTCATGAGACTCTTCTGGCCTTGACTTAGTCAGGACTCTTGGTTCTCCATGCCCCCCTTTGGGGTTTGTTTAGATCCTGGCACACCGTCTTCCTAGCTGGGTTTCTTTGGAGGCTGGCTCTTCAGAGTAGCTGTGACCATTTTGTGAGATGGTGTGCCCTGCACCCAGCCTGCCCTTCCTATGCCCTTGCTACGCCCTGGCATTATTAATCATTGCTGGTACTATTATCATTGGGCCAGCCTCCGGGGTGGACGCTGCCCAGGCTGTTGTTTGGGAGAGGCACATGGAGCCTCCCCACACCTGTGGCAGCATATGGGCGAGTCCTTAGCAGTTACTGTTTAAACGAGTGGTAGCAGTGGGGGCTGGTAGGGGTCAGGCCTCAGCACCTGGCATGGACAAGCAAATACCACTGGGGCCACGGCATCAACCATGTGGAACAGACCTAGTCCTGTTCCCCTGAGCGCTCTTCCTTTCCCCTCCCCCACCATCTACTCTTAACAACTGAGAGGTAGCCTGGAAGGTCCTGCCTCTGACCAGGCTTGCCTTTCCTGACATTGGGAGTGATGGGGCCACTTACCAGCTTTCGAAGGGCTCCCTCGTCCAGCCCAGCTAAGGCCTCGTCTGCCATCTTGCTGGCCCCTATCTCTGTTCGTCCCCTCCTGGTGAGATCTTCAGTGCCGGTGGCACCTGACACCAGCTCAGGGAATTCTGCAGGGGACAGATATAAGTCAGGCCTGCTGGGGCCTCTTCTAGTGCCTCAGTTTCCCCATCTTACCCATGATCATTTGTTGCTGTCCCATCCTTGCTACCTGTGATGTGACTCCTGGCTGGGAGTTGCCCTCTGCCCTATGGTAGTGTGCTGGAAAACAACAAATCAAGAGTCCCTGGTTCCAGTCCAGCTAACTCAACTACCAGCCTGCTGTATGGCCTAAACTGAGCCCTCACCCTGTCTAAGCAAACAGGGAGGGTAGGAACCTAGACAGAGAAGCTGGGTGCCAGCAAGGCTCACTCAAGCTGTGATCACCACCAGGGGCTGCCCAGCAGACTCCACAGTTTCCTGCACCACCCACCCATCCCCAATGCCTGCCCAGCCCCACCTACCCCCAAAAACTCAGCCTCTGGCTGTGGGCTGAGGCCTCTTTAAGTCCTTGCTGCTATTGCCATTCTCATTCCCCTAAGCCTTCGAGGTAACTGCCTTCCAGTTCTTGAGGACAGCCCTCTGTACACACCCCTCTCCACTCCTCCCATTTCTTCCCTTCCTCCAATGCCAACTGCCCTGACCTCATGAAGCAAGGTGTCCAGGCACCCAGCTCCTTTTGCCAATTCACACACTTAGAATTCAGTTCCTCAGCTGGAAGGGCCTTTAGAAGCTGACCCATCCAACCTCTGGATTTAGGCAAACTGAGGATTAGAGAGGACCTTGGATTTGTCACAGGGGGAAGAAAGATCCCAAAAGCCAGAGGGTAGGCCACCCTTGGCCACCTCTGGCTTCTGAAGCCCCCTCCTAAAGTGCCCCCCAGGGCTCAGGACAGTCCCTTTTACCCCTTCATTATCCATTAAAATGGCCCCCTAGAGCCTGGCCCAGCCTCCCAAATGCAACTCTTTCCTTCCTCCTGCAGCCCCAATGTCTTTCTGGAATCGGAGGGTCCACAGCCTTAAAACCATAGGTGCTGAGTTAATGTATGGTGATAGGAGTGACCCCAGGATTCCCCCTCTTGTTGATTCATCACTCAGTCAACCCTTCCCTCTCCCCAGAACAGTCACTTGTTGAGTCACTCAATCCAGTGAATGGGTCTGGGGGGTTCCTAATCCCCACAGTTGTTTTCATTGGACTCTGCCTGTTTAAATTGCTGCTGGCTTTTCCCATCCCTGTAGGCTCCGGCAGATGTCAGTGTCCCAGCTTCCCTCTGTTGGAGTCCTTGCTTCTTACCAATCTACTTTGGGGTAACCCCCTCCCCACCCAAGATTGTCACTCACCAATTACCAGACTTAAGTTTTGTGGACACTCTGAGCTCTCCCATGTCTTCTGAGGGGTGGAAGTCCCTAATCCGTAATCTAGGACCTCTAGGAAGTTTCTTTCCTGGAGTATTCCCGCTGCCCTACTCCAGTCGCATGGCTCTCTGTCACAGCCTTGAGTCCCCTGCGATTGTGGGACATCTCAGTGGAATGTGGGAACTTCCCCCGAGTGGCTGCCCCCACTGGCCAGCGCCCATGGAGGTTGTAAAGCTTCCTCGTCTCAGCCATATCCCATGATTTAGGACCCCTGCAGCTGGGTGGGGGCTCCCAGATCTGGGAGTCCCAGAACCCCCGCCCTGACACCCAGCTTCCACTCCCAGACCAGGAGGTCCTTACACCCACCTCTCAGTCTGGTTCGCCAGTCGCGCGCGCAGGCTCAGGTTAGGTGGCTCGGGATCCGACAGATGGCTAGGAACAGTCAGGGGGAAGGCACCGCGACTAGGATCCCGGGTCCACAGGGCAACCGTCCTCTGGATTCTGGAAGCGCCGCCTGTCCAGCCGCGCCTGCAGCCCGGCTGGCCCCTCCTTGCCCAGCAGCACCAGCCAACCCTCGGGAGGGTCCCGCCCACCCTCGTGCCCCATTGGGTAAATTTAATTTGAGGGCCACACCCCTCGCGGGCCTGTTTTGCAGGAGATTGTAGTGGTGGGACCGCTGCCGTGGTGGCCTTGGCTGGTTGGGTGAGTGTCGCCAGGAGGACGCAGTTTTGCGCCAAAGTTCAGAAAGGGCCCGCTCCCAGAGCCAGCGTAAGTGGCCGGGAGTCGCCCCAGTCTAGGAGCTTTCAGGACAGCCCTCCTCTTTGTTCGTGAGACCACGTCCCCTCCCTGGACTCCTCCCACTCCTCCGTTGGTGGCTGCCTTTGGCCTCTGCCCCCAGGCTGCTTTCGGGACACCTGGTCGGAGCCACCTCAGAGTAGAGACTGTGACCAGCAGCATTTTGACCCTATGTTGGAGCATCTCAGGGACCACCTCAAATGGAGCGAGATCAGTCACACAGCACGCCTTTCTCAGCCGAGACACCTTTGCCCCGGTATAGCCTTCGTCTGCCATGCTTCTCTCTTCCGAGCCCTTCTGGGTCTGCTTCTTGGAGCGCTGCAGTCCTACATTAGGAGTACGGAGGAAACTGAGGTCCAGAGAGAGCTAACATGCCCAAGACAGCACAGGGAGTCAGCCAGGGGACCCTAAGAGCTCAGGTCCACTCCACCTCCCTTCCTGGAGGCTCTGGAGCCTCCCACAGGTCTCCATGGAGACCGAAGGGAGCTGGAGCCTGGGAGGTGGGGTCTGGAATCCTGTCTGTCAAATAAAAGCAATGATAGTATCAACTCATTTGTTTGGCACTCGCCAGATACCAGGCATATATCCCCTGTAGCTACCATTTGAGCCCAGGATTACTGTCCCATTTTACAATTGAGAACAACAGTTGATAGGTAGTGGAAATGTGATTTATACGAGCACCGTTTGAGTCCAGAATCTCTGGGGAAGTGGGCCTGTTGCCTCCTGTAGTGTTCCTCAGCCCCACCACTCAGATCCTAACCCACCCACCCTACCTTGCATCTATCTAGAGAGAGGTTCAGTATTGACTGCGAGACCCATTTAAAGGTATCCTATTTCATCCCCATATCCTTGGCAGGTGGTCCCATTTTACTCGTGGAGAAACCTAGGCACTGAGAGGGAAGAGACTCGTTTGGGTCACGCGGGAGGAGGAGCAAACAGAGTCCAATTTGAAGGCTATACTTCGAGGTCCCCTTCTCCTAGGCAGGCCCCTTCTAGGCCCTCCCTGCTTTACTTCAATGCCATCTTACTTTGCAGCGCTAAGAGTCAGCGCCCTCCAAGGCCAGTTCTGTACTACTTCAAACCTCGCGCGCCTGTTGGTACAGCCCCTTGGGGCGGGGCACACCCAGGCCCCCTGACATTTTCAGGGCCAGCCTGAGTGGTGACTCCCAGCTCCAATGAACGGCCTGATTCATGCTGGCTCCGCCTCCCGCAAGCTGGGCGGAACCGCACAGGTGAGTCTACATCCGGACTTGTCCGGCTGCACAAAAGCTCAACAGTTCTTGGTACCGGGAGCCTTCAGGGCTGGGGTCCTCCTACCAGCCTTCCTATTTTCCTTCCTCCCTGCGAGGGGTGGGGCGGGATGGAACGGTGGTGGTGGTGGTGGTGGTGGTGGTGGTGGTGGTGGTGAGACAAGGATTAAAGGGCAGTTCCATGTGCGCTGGAGAAGCTTTAGCTACAGCCCAGGAAGGTATAAACACCCCGAGAGGAGGGTTCTGGCATTTACTGAGCACCCGCTGCATGTCAGGCATAGGGTTTGATCTGTTGCAAGTTCACCATTGTGCAAGAGAAGTATTACCCAGATTCTAGAAAGGAGGAAACTGAAGGTCAGAGATGAAGGCACCTTGGACTGGTAATGGCATTCAAACTTGAGTGAAATTCTGCCAATGTTAAGGCCCCTTTCCTCCACCTCGCTGCCTCTAGGATCGGGGAAATCCTGGAAGACTCCTCAGAGGAGGTGATGTGCAAACTGATCCCTGAGGAAGGGTGAAAAGAAATCCACCCGCTGAATAGAGGTGGGAAAGACATGGAAAGGCCTCTGTGGCAAAGGAACAATGTGAGTAGAGGCCAGGAGGGTTGTAAATGGGAAAAGGAGGAAGAGATGGGCTTGGATGGAGCAGGAAATGGAGATGGGGGTGGTCCTTCCCATTTGTGAAGGTCCCTGAATACCAGGTGAGCAGGGTGAATATATCTTTTGGGCATTGGGGAGGCCTGGGTTTCATTCTGTCCATCTGTAAAATGAGGGAGTTGGACTGGCCCACTTCAGGCCCTCCCAGGGCAAGGGGGTGTATCTGGAAGGGTTCACATTCCTCCATGTCCAACCTTGAACTTGGCAGAGTGGGGAGTAGCTGGAGCAGCTCGGGGGCCAAGGGTAATATTTTGCTCTAGTGCTTGAGTCTGATAATAAATATTGCACCAGGCTGGCCATGCCAGATGCCTGAATCACCCTGCTAGCTGGCTCCCGCTCCCTCCAGGCCAGGATCCTGCAGAGAAAGCCCAGGCCCCGGGTCGGGACTCCAGAGGGGTGATGGATCTTAGCCCTGGATCCACCCTAAGCAAAGTTTTTGTCTTCTGGAAACCTTGGTTTCCTCATCTTCACAATGGGAGAACTGTGGCCTGAGCTCACTAAGCCCTCTCTCTCTAGACTAGACAACCTAAAATTCCAAGATTGTATGGGAGACCCCACCTAGACATGTGCTCACAAATGGCTGTGAGGCCAGCCAAGGCCAAGATCTTGGGCCCAAGAGGGAGTCCAGGGGCTGCTGCGCACTGGGAGGGTGGGAGGGGTTAGGGATGGATCTGAGTTGGGTCTGCTCTTGGGGTCTCATAGCCTAGGGGTAGTAGGGGGACACATGGTGTGTGGAGTCTAAAAGTTGTCGAGAACAAAGCCCTCACTTACTGTGTGGCATGCCGAGGGAATGGGGAAAGGCAGAATGGGGAAAGGGACAGCACGAGCAAAGGAAGGGAGGTAGGAGTGTGAGGACTTTTTTGGAGAAAAGTCAAGTTGGTGAGGCCGGAGCATGGGGTCTCTAGAGGAGAATGGGTTCTTGTCAGGGTTGGTTGGATCCATGGACTGTGACTCTTCTCGTCACAGGCAGAACAGGAAGCCCCTAGAGTCATGGCCAGCAGCCCCAGGAGTGGGGCTGGAGACCTGTTTGGAAAACCAGTTTGGCAAGGCTGTCTCCTCCATGATGTCATCCAGCTGCTCTGTTCTGAGTGACAGTGCCAGATAAACTTCCGGCCTTGGGGGAGAACTAAGGGGGGCTGGCCCCAGGAGCTGAGGGATGGGAAAGGAATGACTCTTCAATGTAGGAATCTTGGAGGCAAGTGGGCCCCGGGAAGAAGACTTTAGGGGGCTTGAGGCACCCACTAAACTGCTGTGATGAACCCCAGGAAACCAGCCTCGTGGATGTAGGAGAGGGTTCTATATGGTCTGGCCTGGATTTCTTGTGACTTCTGTGGGTTCCCTGATGCCTGACTCCATCCAGGCTCATGGCAGGGGCCCTATATAATTGCTGTCCAGTGAGTTGGAACTTGGCTCCAGATCGCCCTTACAATACATAAGTGGCTATTTTGTTATTACCATGACCCTCACGGCTTGAGCCCTCTGAGGTAGGACCATCATTATACAGATGAGAGGACAGGCTCAGTGAGGCGAAGCCACGCCAACACCTCACACAGGATTTGAACCTAGAACTCTTAGTCTTAACTCTGGTACCCTGCCATTTGCCATTTGGGATCTCTTCCCACATGGGGCTTTGTCATATTTCTTTTTTTTTTTTAACCCTCACCTGAAGGCATACTTATGATCTTAGAGAGGAAGGAAGGGAGAAGAGAGGGGAATAGAAACATCTATGTGAGAAACATCAATTGGTTGCCTTTTGCATGACCGGGGATGAAACCTGCAACCCAGGCATGTGCCCTGACCAGGAATTGAACTCTCGACCTTTTGGTTTGTGGGATGAGGCCCAACCAACCGAGTCACACCAGCCAAGGCCATATTTCTTTTCTTTTTTTAAAAAATATTTTATTTATTTCTTTTTAGGCAGAGTGGAAGGGAGGTAGAAGGAGAGGGAGAGAATCAATGTGTAGTTGCCTCTCAGGCACCCCCAACTGGGGACCTGGCCCACAAACCAGGCATGTGCCCCCACTAGGTATCGAACCAGTGACACTTTGGTTCACAGGCTGGGGCTCAACCCACTGAACTACACCAGCGAGGGCCCGGGCCATATTTCTTAACTACTTATGAGCACAGGAGTTGAATTTTGGCATCATAAAGGCCTAGATGCCCACTTCATGGTCCAAATAGGTCATCGGAGTCCTTGTATTCTCAGGGACAGGCCTCAGGTCACACAGAAATTGGGGGTGGAGACACTGCACCTCAGATCCCAAGTTTCCCGAATCCCTTGTTTCCCCTTCCAGGCCTGGCACACACAAGCATAAAATGACAATAACGGACACATACTAAGTGCCTACTATGTGCCATTCACTTATTTGATCATTACCACAGCCCTGTGAGGTAGGTGTTAAGATTATATCCATTTTACCCTGGCTAATATGGCTCAGTGGATTGAGCACTGGCCTGCGAGCCAAAAGGTTGCAGGTTCACTTCTCAGCCAGGGCACATATCTGCCTGGGCTGCGGGCTAAGTTTCTAGTTGGGGGCCTATAAGAGGCAACTGGTCTATGTTTCTCTTGCACATTGCTCTTTCTCTTCTTTCTTCCTTTCTTCCCCTCTCTAAAAATAAATAAATATATTTTTTAAAAAAGCCAAAAGATTATATCCATTTTATAGATAAAGAAACGGGATCAAAGGGGGAAAATCACTTGTCCAAGTTGACACAATATGTTGGTGGTAGAGCTGGGACTTGAACCGCTTGTGTGTGCCCTTTCCCTAGTAGGCCTCATTGGAGGCATGAAGACCCCTGGGCAAGAGAGTGCAAGGTCCCTTTGCAGGATCCAGTGTCCTGTTCATAGTTTCCATGCAGGCCTGGCCTCCCTGAGGCGGGAAAAAAAGTGCTGAGGCTGTGGAAACACTGTTAACCTTCCCAGAGGAGGCAGCCACGGTGGGAGGGAGTGCTCGGTGCAGACCTCAGAGCCAAGTGTAGACGTGGCAGCTTGGACCCGCTGCAGGCGAGGGAGGGCTGGCAAGGTGGGGCCAAACCCAAACCGTCCTTCCAGCAGTTCCCAGCCCTCTGCCTGCCAGGCCTGGTCCTGCCTGCTCCTCTAGCTCCCCATCTGGATTTAAGATGAGGATTTTAGGCCTAATAATAGCTGAATGGCAGCAAGGGCAATGCCTGAGGCTGCAGCCAGTGGCGGGGCTGGGGTCCCCTATAGTCTCATGCTGGCCTGCAAGAGTTTTCAGAACTTTGAAAATAATAGCAAGTGCTTATGAACTACATACATGTGCTAAGTGCAGGCATTGTGCTAAGGTTTATCCACAGTAACTCATTTATTCCTTACAACCATCCCAGTGAGATAAGACTACCATTAGCCCTATTTAATGGGTAGAGAAATGTAGGCACAGAGGGTTAAACTACCTGCCCCTGAAGATTATGGCAGCCTCCAATTGCTGAGCACGTACATGTCCATCTTGGGCACCGTGCTAAGCACTTCCTGTGTATTTTCCCATTTGAGGAAAATACGTAAAGCATTATGGGCAGATTGCCGTTTATTTAGATAGGGAAAAATGAGAACCAGAGGAAAAGGGAATTGCTCAAGCTCACATGACTGGAAGGGGCAGAGTTGAGACCCAGAGTCAGAACTCGAACTCTAGAGTGGTGAGGACTTGGGCTTCTGGAATCAGACAAACCTAAGTATTATGCTAGTGACATCACTGCTCCTTAGCTGTATGGCCTTGGCAAGTCACATCACCTGCTCGAGTCTCTGTTTTCTCCTCTGTAAAATGGGGGTTGGTTTGAGAGGATGCTGATGCCACCTGTCAGATACTAAGCCAACCATGGGCACATTTACAGCATGCAATTACCTCATGCATATTCACTCGTTCAGGTATCACAACAGCCCCCCAGGTGGGGACTGCTCTTTTCTTACACTTGTTTGTAGAAGAGAAATGTGAGGCCCAGAGATGGGAAGGGACTAGCCGAAGACCAATGGTAAGTGAGTCAGGATTTGGGCCCGGTGCTTTCATTCCAGAGGCTGAGCTCTTGTCTCTTCACACTTTGCATCCTGATACTGAGGCACAGAGGGGGTGTGACTATGCCCAGGTCACACAGCATGGTAGGTCTGTAGAGCCATCTGATGTGAGAAGGCCAGGAGAGGAAGGCCTATCTGCCACTCGCAGGTCACTACAGTCACAGCTTCTTTGGGCTTGGAATGCAAGATGTTCCCTAGCCTCAGATTTCTGAAAAGATGCCCTGTTCTTCCAAAGTTTAGAGCAAGATCCAGATTTTTGTGCCCCTTCCCTGGGAGGCTAGGATTCCAGATTCAGCTAGCAGAGGTGGGGAGGTCCCTTGTGGCCAAAGAGGACCAGTCCTTGGAGTCACCAGGAAAGCTTGGGGCATGAGGAGGGTTTCAGGTTTTACTTAAATTCTGATTCTTCCATTCACTAGCCACTTCACTGGCCTGAGCCCCCCTTCTGTAGTAGATTGTTTGCAAAAATGACGTCAAGCTTTGCCTTCTTGAATGCAAGCTACTTTGTAATGTGACTTTGGAGTTCCTCCCACCAGGAGTTGGAGTCTTTCTTCACACTGTAAATCTGGGCTCAGCCATGTGACTTATTTTGGCTAATAGAATGCAGCAGAGGTGACATTGCCAGCTCTGAGTCTGGACCTTAAGAAGTCTTCTAGCTTCTGCTTACCTCTTGGAACCCTCCCAACTGTCGTGTGAACAAGCCTGGGCTGTGCTGCCTGGGGATGGGAGACCACTAGAACAGGAACGAGTTGTCCTAGATGAGGCTGTGCTAGTCCATCGCCAGATGATCCAACAGCTGACCACAGACGAATGAGTGAGCCTGACTGAGACCAGAAGAACCTTTAGCGGAGCCCAGCCCAAATTGCTAATCCATGAAATTAAGAGCTACATAAATGATTTCCAGCTGAAGGTACTGTTTTGGGGTGATTTGTTATGTAGCATTGTGTCAATTAATAACTGATACACAGTTTTAAACATTTTTTTAATTCGGTGTAAGTAACTGCTGTTAACAACCCCCAAAATCTCAGTGGCTCCACCCAATCAGAGTTTATTTCTCACTCATGGAAAGCCTGATATAGGTCGGTGCTCTCCTACCCCGTCTCCCTTGGGAGGCAGCTCTCTTCCAAGCAGTGACACCCTCAGGCCCTTCCTAGAATTCATTCCTGAATCCAATGCATATGGAAAGGGATCCTAAAAATCAAGAAGCTCACCCACTCTTAATTGCCATGGCCCAGGGCTAACATGTATAAATTCATTTGTTAGGATGTAGTCACATGACTCTACTAATTACAGGGGAGGAGGAGCATATACCCTTCCTGTATATTCAGGAAGAAGAGTCAGGTTGGAGAACAGAAAACACTGTTTCTGCCACATTTCTTCCCCTACCAGGCTGCCGTGGAGATCAAGCAGAGCATGAACATCTATAAAGAGTTAACTCCATTACCCAGCACAGGATGGTTTAAATAGGGGCAACTGTGAGGAATCTGAGACTCATAGAGGTTGAGGAATCTGTCCAGAATCACACAGCGAGCCAATTGAGTAGCTGTTTTGTGGTGGTGAAGGGCTCAGGACAGATCTGGGTACAAATCTCAGCTCTCTCCCTTTTTTACTGTGTGCCATCAGGCAAGTTACTCAGTTTCTCGGAGCCTCAGTTTTCTTATCCACAAAATTAAAAGTGAAATAGTCCCAGCCTCGTAGGGTTGGGGTGAGCATGCAAGAGCTCATGTGTGTCAAGAGCTTAGTTGACCCAGGTACGTGGGTCCTGCTTAATAAATGTGAGCCACCTGGGTAGATGTGATGCTGTTTCTCATCTTACCTTGCAGGGTCAGCAAAACATGTGCTACGTTTTGTGCAAATCCTGTTTCTTCCCCCTACCTCTTGTGGTGTGAATGGTTTTACTTACCTGGTTAAGAAGAGGAAAATTTTCCCCAGATGGATATCAGTCTCTCAACACACCTTTGAGCACCAAGCCCCCAAACGCCCATGGTTGTTCTGACAGAGCCCTGAAATGCCTACATTATTGCTTCCTTTAGACGAAAGCTGGGCTCTGTGAAATGTATCCCTTTCTGAGCACCCCTCTAGTATTGTCCCATCACTGGGATGGGGACAGGGCAAGAGGGCCTGGAGCTTATGGGCTCCAGCTTGGGAAAGGCCAGGGCCAGGGCAGACCCTGCTGAGTGTGTGGTGTGCGCATTCTGAAAATTTCTGCCCACCCTGAAGGAAGGGGCCCAGGTGGGTTAGAGGTGGCGTCCCCTCCTTTCTCCTCCATTTAACCCCCTCTCAGACTCCGTTGGAGCCAGACAGACAGAGATTTGTAAGCATCTGCTGACGCTCATAGGCCCTGTGGAGCTCCATCTGAAGGGAGGCAGACTCAGCAAACAGAGCCCCGTGTAAACAGATCGGGAGGAGCTCTGTGAAGGAGGAGCCACAGGACACCGTGAGAACATGTACTGGGGACCTATGTTAAATTATTTTCGAAGTTTTGCTTTGAATAACTAATCCTTGGAGGCCAGAGAAGGTAATTATGCTCAGATCTGGAGGATAAGAAGAAATTTGCTAAACAAGGAACTGAGCTGGTCTTGGGGTGAGGAGTGATGTTCTAGCCAGGGGAACAGGCTATGCAAATGTGCTCTGAGGCAGGAACAACCTCTAGGGACTGATGGAGGACTGATATGACCAGAGTTTGAAGGGTAAGGGATGAGAAGGGTGCAAATGAGATTGAAGGGAGGACAGGGGCCAGGCCAAGGGGTCCCTGTGGGCAGGACTGGCGTCACAATTTGTGGGGCCTGTTGCAAAATGAAAACATGAAGCCCCTTGTTCAAAAATTATTAAGAATTTCAAGATGGTGACAATAGAACCAACCAAGCATGGGGCCCTGTGCTACTACATAGGTCGTACACCCATGAAGTTGGTCCTGCCCATTGGGAGTCTGTATGGAGTCACAGAAGGCTTTTGAGCTAGGGGGAGATATGACTTGCATAAGCCTTAGTTGCTGTCTTACATACTGCATCTGGATGGTGTGTGACCCTCTCTTCTCTGCAGAGGTGGCCAGTACATTTTCCTAAAATATTTTACTCAGAATGTCTCACTCCTGTGATCAAGAACCTGCAGTGGCTCCCACCCCCTAATAAGATCCAGCCCAGACTCTCCACCCAGACCCTCAAGGCCCTTCATAATCCGCCCTCACCTGGTTTGGGTAACCTGATGTCCACGTAGGCTGTTTCCTGAATCCCAGAGATGATGAACTAACCCAAGGACACAACAGTTACAGGAGGGCAAGTCAGGACTGGAAGCCTGGTGCCACCCCTGCCCTGGAGGAGGGTGCAGCTACACAGTGTGCTTTGTATCTACCAACCTAGCACAGAAACCTGCACACAGTAGGTGCTCAATATGTGCCTGTGGCAGTGAGTTCCTCCTGGGGTACATCTTTGCTAGGGTAAGGGTATTCCAGAATCCAGGATGCAATTAGCATTCTTCTTGGCTCCTTTCTCTCTCCCGTATCTGTAGGCATTCCCCAAGCCCCACCGCACCCTGGGATGCCCAGTGGCCCAGGTCTTGCCCATAGACATGTTGTGTCTGGGCCTGTATGGCTTTTAAAAAGCTTCTTTGAATTTGTCATTAGCATTTAAAAATCAGGAAATTTCTCATGACCATCCAAATTTTTGTTTCTCTGCAGAGTGTCATACCTGGGTCTGAATTCCAGGGCGCCACTTCCTCTGAAGTAGAACCTCCAAGGGGTTCCTCTCTAAACCCCCAGTAGGCCTGTGCAGTTTAAGACTTTAAAGAAGGAACATCCTAATTACCACCAAGGACCAATCAGAATCCTGGGATCTGACTAATCAGGTGAATAATTCCACCTTCTGAGGGCAGAGCCAGGAGGAGAAAACCCCAGCCCTGGTCTCTGCCAACAGGAAGAATGAGGGATGTGTTGTTCCCATTCTCACAACCAGTTCCAAACTGATGCTGACTCCTGACTCCCTGGGGGCTGAATGGGTGCAGTGGATGCAATGAGTGCTTCTCGGCCCCGCTGATCCCTGCCACCAGGTCTTTGCAGTTGCCTTGCTCTCTGCTTGGGCCACTCTTCCTCCTCATCTCCACTCTCGCTGGCTCCTGATTACCATTCATGTCGCAGCTCACCTGTCGCCCCCATAGAAAGGCCTTCCCCGTGCACCTATCTGAAGCACCAGGCAGTACTCGGTGCTGTACAATTTAAAAACTTTTTTTCATACCAGCTATTGTCTTAAATTATTTATTTGTTGTTGTTTGGCTACTAATGCTAGATGTGAGCTCTGTGAGGGTAAGGACTGAGTCTGTCTCGCTCACCACCAATTCCTCAGGGCCTAGAACAAGACCTGGCTCCAAAGAAGAGGTTGAACACATGGTTGTGGAACAAGGGAACCTGGGGACTCGAAAAAGACCTTTCCCTGGAGGATGCACATGACCTGTGTGGGTGGGAGCTGGTAATGGGCCAGCCAGTTTACAATTGAAGAGCAATTAGTCACCAGCTAATTGATACACAAGACAGCTAAGGGGGTGGGATTGACACTTGAAAATGAGCCTTGGATCTCTTTCTGGGGAAATATTGAGAGAGGGCACTGAGGAATCTCCAGGGGAATGTTTGAAAACCACTTCCATGTTGTCGAAGGAGATAGAAATGATCAGAAGTCCCCGCAAAGGGATCTGGTCCCTTTAAGAAGCAGGCGGGTCTAACCAGGCCGTGGTGGCTGCAGCTGGAAGAACTGGCCTAGGAGGTAAAGAGTGGGACTGAGGAAGAATTACCCTCTCCTACTTATGGGGGCAAAATACTTTGGAACATTAAGAAAGATTCTTTTGTTTGCAAATGCTACACACTTCCCTGGATACCCTGGGCAAAGGGGGACTTTATTGGGAGGCCATCAGAAGTTGTGTCAAGATTATAAAAATTTCAAGGTAGAAAGAGGGGGCCATCAAACTCATAGTTGTTTGAATTTACCCAAAATTGTTTTCTGGTTTCCACACTTCCTTCTGATCAGCCTGTTGGTGAGAGCTTTGCGTTTGAAATGTGATCTGCAGACCAGAATCTTTGGTCTCTCCTAGGAGCTTGTTGGAAATGCAGAGTCTCAGGCCTCACCCCAGACCTACTGAAGCAGGATCTGTATTCTCACAAGATACTCAAGGGATTAAGTGCACGTTATAGTTTGGGTTTGTGGCCACAAGAATCAACTGGTGATGGGGGGAAGGCGTCTCCTAAATGCAAAGGTTCCTAGGCCTTCCGTGAGAGCTGCTGCTTTGGTGGTCTGGGGTGGGGTGGGCGGGGATGGGTGTTTCCCAGAGCCCTTGGGGGACAGGGCCATAAATTCAGCAAATAGCCTTGAGCTGCTGCCACTAATTCTTGCTCATGTGCTAGCAGGGTGGAGTCCAGCCTACAGCCTCCTGCTCTGCAGGTAGGAGATGGGCCTGAGAAACCCACGTCTGTGACTTCCCAAGGAGGAAACTGCTCAGGACCCTGGAGGGAACACCCTGTACACTGCTGGGTCTCAGCTTAGGGGGCTCTGTTTTGAGAGGCTCACCTGCTTGACTGAAGGGAGGCAGAGGGTGGCCTGGGCTGATGTCAGAGCTGGGGACCTTAACCTGCCTGCTGTGCTGCAGACAAGCAGCTCCTAAAAAGCTGTGTTTGGCCTAAGGATGGGAACAGCAATGTTGAGTTGGCCCTATAGGAGTTCCAAAGTGCCTTCGCCCTTCATTATATTTGATCTTCATCACAATCTCGTACAAAACACCAAAAAGAAACAGCCATGCATGGAAGACTCCTGCCTCTGAAAAGGGTTGACTTCAACCTCAGAGGTGACTGTAACAGTTTAGTGAGGACTACTACTTAACTTGTAGCTCCCTCTTGGTCCATTAAATTCTGGTTCTCAGATTAAAAGTGCTGTTGAGGCCCTCGCTGGTGTGGCTCAGTGGGTTGAGTGTCAGCCTGTAGACTGAAAGGTTGCTGGTTCAAGCCCTGGCTGGCATAGCTCAGTGGATTGAGCACGGGCTGGGAACCAAAGTGTCCCAGGTTCGATTCCCAGCCAGGGTACATTCCTGGGTTCCAGGCCATAACCCCCAGCAACCGCACATTGATGTTTCTCTCTCTCTCTATCTCCCTCCCTTCCCTCTCTAAAAAATAAATAAATAAATAAAATCTTAAACAAAAAAAAAAAAGAAAAGAAAGGTTGCTGGTTCAATTCCCAGTCAGGGCACATGCCTGGGTTGTGGGCCAGGTCCCTGGTTGGGGTGTGCAAGAGGGAACCGATCAATGTTTTCCTCCTCTTTCTGCCTCCCTTACCTTCTCTCTAAAAAGATAAATAAAGTCTTTTAAAAAGTAAATAAAAGTAAAAGTGCTATTGAGTTAGGAGGTTGGATCGGGGTGAGCTCATCTTTTCACATTTTGAAGTTAATTTGAAGTGTGACCATGTCACACTTGTATGACTTGGTAAGACACACTTATCTATTTGGGTTCGCTCAGTACTCTCTGGGGTTTAGGAATCCCAGTACTCTCTGGGGTCCAGGAGTTTCATTTTCAGGGCCAAAACATTAATGGAGGAAGACAATTCCCACATCTCCCACTTGTTTCTGCCACTCACAGGTCCCAGGCATCACTTGGCACCTCGAGGCAGCTCCCAAAATTGCAGACAGAGGCTCCAGAGGAAATTGTCAGTCTCTACAAGGCTTGCCTGGTGTTTCCAAAACTTATTCGATGACATCACAAGTAAGACTCGGCAATTAGGTTAAGGGAGTCTGGCCGGTGAAGACAGACAGAAGCTGGCAGGCATTGGTTCAGGCAGGACAGAAACGGAGATTGCCAATAGGTGGAGGTGAGGATAGAGCCGAGCACCTTGGAAGGAGAGTGAAAAACCAGTTGGCATTACCGAACACGTTCACAAGCACAGTCCTCCTTTATTCTCAGCAGCCCTGCGTGGTGGGAGATAATTACACCCCTTCTACAGGTAAGGGTCCTAAGACTCGGCAAGACCATAAGGCTACGCATAGCCAAGCCACGCATGTTAGACCAGAATGTTGCACATAGTAGGTGAACAGTTGACATTTGTGGAATAAAAGTAGAATGTGTATATTTGATACCCCTTTGAAAAAGAACTGGAAATGTTGAGAAATTTCTATTTTTGCGTAGTATTGCCCCACAAGATACTTACTAATTACAAGGGGACCCTTTACAGCAGAGAAACCCAGCAGACACCTTAGCTGAGTAATCAGTGTCACTATTACCAGCTACAAATAATATCGACAGAATGTAGCTCCTGTGTCATGCACTCAGAAGGCACAACGTCCCTGCTGTGGTGTTCTTGACCAAAATGCATAACCTTGATCTAAAAAACATCAGACATCCAAATGGAGGGGTAGCCTCTAACGTGACTGGCTGGCTCTCTTCAGTGTGGAGGTCGTAGAAAAAAGAGAGACTGAGGACCTGACAGAGATGGGGGGAGACTAGGACTCAGCTAAACACAGTGTGGGATCCTGGGTTGGGTCAGAAGGAAAATGGGCCAAATTCAAATGAGGTCTGTAGCTAGTTAATAATACTGTATTAGTGTTGATTTCCTGGTTCCGATCCTTGTACTTGGGTTAGGTAATGTGTTAATATTAGGGGAAGCTAAGTGAGGGGTATAGGTGGTGAAGTTTAGAAGAACGCTCTGGATGATTTTTGCAACTTTTCTGTAAGCCTAAAATTATTTCATAATAAACACTTTAAAAACTACAAAATACATTTTATGACATATGAGTTATATTTCAATTTAAATAAACTATGAAAATCTTGAGAAGACGTGAAAATATAGCTTCTTCAGATGATACTTTCTCCCTTACCCTTGCTCATTTTTCTCTTATAATTTGAATCTCTCTCTGTTTCAGATATACTGAGCTCAAACGCCGTGTCCTCCAAGAAGCACTGCTGGATCTACACAGCTAGAAAGGTGTCTTTTTCCGCCGAACCCTAGGACACTCTTGTTAGTGCAGACCCCATCCCAAGCCACAACTGATATCCGACGCCAGGACATCAGAACTGAGACATTAATTGGCCTGTCTCTCACTGTTGGAGCCACGAGATGTGAAAAATAAAAGCCGTTAGCCACCATTCTCTCTGCCACAAGAAGGAACCCTGTCTGCCACTAGAGAGAGAAAACAGTTCACACAGAGGGACAGAGAGACAGAGAGACAAAGACCCATTTGTTCTGGAAATTTTCTGCCCTTGTCAGGAGTGGCTGGTTGGTTGACTTCACTGTCCACTACGTAACCGCCAATAAAATCTTCTTCCAGTAAATCTTTCTTTATTAAGGTGGCCAGAATAGTTTTATGTGTCTCTCAACACAAAGACATCAATGAATGCAGCTACTCTGCCAGGGCTGTCCAACCTTTCGGTGTCTCTGGGCCACACTGGAAGAAGGAGAGTTGTCTTGGGCCACCCATTAACTACACAAACACTAATGAAAACTGGTGAGCAAAAAGGTTTTAAGTACATTTACAGTTTTGTGTTGGGCCGCATTCATAGCCATCCTGGGCCGCATGCAGCCTGTGGGCCATGGGTTGGGACCCCTGGTGTGTGTTTTACCTCCCACTCATCCAAAGACTGTCAAATGCCCGTTTCAGATAGAGTTCTCACCGGCCTGGGGTTAGTGAGAAAACTAGAACAATGTGGTGAGTTACTTACAAAGGCAGGTTTAAAAAAAATTGGTTACTTGTGAGATTAGTCCTTATTAAATTTTATGATGACAGTAGAAAGTGGTGCTTTATTTTTTCTTTAGTGTACTTTGACAAATAACAAAGTGTTGGCAATTGTGTGCCCCACTTGGAAAGAACACTTTAGTGGGATGTGAGATCCCAGAGTCTGGGAAGCTCAGGCCAGGTAATGACTCCTCTGGGCGAGGGCCCTGGCGTGGCTCCCCACACAGCTCCCGGCTGGACTCGTGGTAGGGCTGCGCTGCGGTGCCTCCTGAAATCAGCCTGAGCGAGAGAAGCTGATGAGTTTAGAAAGCTGCTCTGGTCTGCTGCCTGTCATGTGGGGAGGATCTGACTTAGGATTGTTACAGCTTATTCTATCACTTTATTCTTTTGTGACTTTCAAAGGAAGCCTCAGATTTTTACTTGCAGAATGCCTCTGGAATCCTTCCTAGAGGCATTATTAATCCTTATTAATTTTCTCTTTTATTTTCACATCTGTCTAGGGATGCCTTGGCTGGGAGGGGAGGTGAAGTCTCTCTTCTTAGATAGAACCTGAAGGGTCCGCTCACTGAGGTGGGGAGAGAGCACTGGAATGGGAGCCAGACAGCACCGAGGTTCAACGAGGTTCAACTTTGGCTTCCTTTCGGACTGGTTGCAATGTCTTCAGTAACTTGCTTCATTTTTCTGAGGCTTGGTTTCCCAACCTGTGAGATGAGGATGACAGCTAACCCACCTTCTTCACAGGGGGCTGCTGGGAGAGGCTGGATAAGGCTTGGCAGTGATTTGGAAACTGGAAGAGGGGAGGGACAGATGCTGGGTGTTATTTTACAGGGGTTGTTGGGGATATTTGAAGAGGAAATTATTAAGTTACAGAAATGGGAAAGTAGGGAAGTTGCTAAGTACTTCCTAGCTATCCCAAGCTCTATTTCTTAGTTGCATATAACCTCCTCTCTCTGTGCCTCCAGTTTTTCATCTGGAAATCCGGGTCCCACAGTCGGGAAAGTAATTCTTTGGGAGAGCTCACACTGGGCACTGAAGTAGACATAGAATCGGTTAGAGAGAGGACCACTTCCGGTGGAGGAGACTGCATGAGCAAAAGCTTGAAGGTAGGAATTCTTGCGACATAGAGGAGAAACACTGGTCTCACATGTTTTGTTTAATGGGAACAATGGTAATCTTTATCTTGATGAGAATTAAACAAGATAATGCAGGTAGAGTGCTTAGCACAGGCTGGCACACAGCACACAGTAATGGCGCTTATCCACACTGCTTTGGTTTTATTTTGCAGATAAAGAAAATGGAGCCTCTGAGAGGTGATGTGGCTGGCCCAGTCAGAGTTATCAGAAGTTGAGGAGGATTTGAACCCATTTCTTCTGGACTGTAGAGGCCAAACTCTGAACAATTGTGTTACTAGCCACACCATTGTGGGGCCTCTGCTCCGACCCCAGCTGCCTGCCTGACCCAGCAGCTATGGGTGGCCTCACTCTTGTGCGTGGGCAGCAGGGCAAGAACCCTCCAAGTTCCTTGAGAACCAAATATGGACAGACCGGGCCCTCTGAGGCCCGACCCCAAGTCTGGGCTTGCTCCTGCCTGCTCATCTGGGCTTGGGCCCTTTTCCCTACACAACCTCCTGGCTGTGCCCTGGAGGACTCTGGGAGAGCTTCCCTTCAGATCTCCTCCTCAGAGCGTCTTGTTGAGCAAGTTACTGAAAGAGAATGATGAGACCAGCGTCTCAAACATGCCACAAAAATTCCTGACCCTAGGCCTTTGTTCATGTGTCCCCTCCACTTGGGGTGTCTCTTATCCATCCTTCAGTGCCACTGTGAGGCAACAGGAAAGGTTACATCCTAGCTGTGTGACCTGGAGTAAGTCATTCCATCCATCCATCCGTCCATCCATCTGTCCGTCCATCCATTCTTTCTTCCATCCAGGGGACACCTACCTGTACAAGGCACCTTACATACAGCCTCTCCTTGCAGACTAGAAGTCCCTTGAGGACCACAGACCAGGTGCCAGAAGATAATTGTTCAACCAATATCCATGGGCCAAGGCTCGTTCTTACTATGATCCCAGTGAGGCCCTTATCTTTGTCACCCTATTTTATAGATGGAAAGACTGACGGAAGGGGAAGTCCAAAGGACACACAGCAGGGATGAGTAGAGCTGAGACTTGAACCCTGCTCTGACTCTGGAGGCCTAGTTCTTAACCACTAGGCAGTGCTGCCGAACTCCTAATGGAGGGGGGACTATGATGAGGGTCAGGTGCTGGGGGAGGGCTGGGACCACTTCTTTTTCAGTCCTTGGGTTCTGAGGAATCCCCTTCACACAGAGGCTGTCCAGTTCTGAGGCAGCTGTCCCTCACTTACCTTCCCCACTCTGGCCACTCTGTGACCAGAGCTGGCCTGATGCTCGGCTCCTCCTGATTGAGATTTGAGAGTTCCTGTCCCATCTCATACCCTACAGAGTCCTTTTCAAGGTCACCAGTGCGTTCATCTCTGCCCCATGGGTGAAGCAGGGCAGGGAGGATCTTCTCCGTGGTTGAGATGGGGAAACCGAGGCCCCTGCACTGGCCATGTGCTACATCGGGGGTGCAGCTAGGCCTCAAATCTCTTGTTTTGAGGATTGGGGCATGGAATTGGCTGCTAGATCTTCCTTGAAGCCATGGTATGAGGTGCTTAAAGCCTGGCAGACCCCAGCTCCGCCACTCACTAGCTGTGCAGCCTTGGGGAATTACTCCACCTCTCTGAACCTCAGTTTTCTCCTTCAAAAAATGTGGACAGTGCTAGTAATTCTTTGAGAAATGTTGAGAGGATCAAATTTAAAAAAATACTGGTGAAGCACTTAGCACAGTCTTGGAACACAGTGGGTGTTCAGATAAAGGGTTTATTACTGTACTAAGTGCCTGCCACAGAGCATCAGATCAGGAGGGTTAGCCAGGCCAAGGGTGATAGCATCTACCATCCCTTTATCACCATTGTGTGCTAGGCACGTTCATCAGGACAACGTCCCTATAACTCAGTGCTAGTTGCAGATGCGGTAACTGAGGCTCAGAGAGACAAAATGACTCGCCCTAACTCCCTACCCAGCTAGAGGAAGAGTCTGGGCTTGAACTCAAGTCTGTGTCTATAACCTCGGCTCTGCTTCTATGTGCTGGATTCTCCCATCATGCTAAGACCCAGAGAGGAAAAAGGAGTTACTTGGGGGTCCCACAGCAGCTGGGGGCAGGTCAGACCACACCGAGGAGACTGTTTCCATCCTGGCAACTCCGTACAGGTCTGGGTAATTCTCCGGCCCAAGGTTTAAGGCAGGGCCTGACGGACACATTCATGGTCCTCAGAAGGGTCTTGGAACCTGGTCCACGGTCTCAGGAGGGTCAACAGATCCCATCTTCCCCACATACCCCTCAGCCCCCACTCTACCCTGTGACCACCCCTTCCCCACCCCTAGCTTTCTGCGTGCCCCCCTCCTTTTTAATCAGCGGAAGCTTTTGCCAAAGAAAACTTGGTGGTGCCCACAAACCAGCCAGCCGGGGAGGAAGCTGCCCTGGAATGTTGGAGGGGGTCACCAAGCTGTTTGTGAGCAGGCCAGCAGAGCACTGTAAGCAGCTACCTTTTTTGGGGAAAGTCAGAACTCCCTCTGTGGGAACGGATACCAGGGAGGCCAATTCAGAGGCTCAGACCTCAGTTTCCCCATAGTCACCGCCATGGCACCTATGGGGTATGAATAACTTCAGCTGGTAATTTATCAGCTATTGGTCGGGTGCCTGCTGTGTGCCAGGCACTGAGCTGGCTGCTTTGGGACACCGCAGGGTCAGAGCTAAGCCCTCTCCCGGAGGCTCACGTTCCAAAGGGAGGCAGTTTCTTGGTGAGTCTCCCAATGAGCTAGAGAGAGGCAACCCTTGATCAACTCTCTGGGCTTGGATGGGTTTCAGAATTCAGAATTTTGGGGGGTTTTAAAAGGTGATGCAGTGGGGTCTGGGCCCACCCGTCTCCAATCAAACGTATGAATATTGCTGTAGCGAGAAGTGAGAATATTTCCTCTCGGTGGAGCAAACATTCTGCACATTCTCAGTCCGTTCAGGTCAGGTTTTGCCTCCAAATGGGTTTTCTTAGAGTATAGAGAAAAGCCTCCAGGTGTTCAGGTTTTCTGAACCGTGGAACTGAAGATAAAGGGTTGAGGGTCTAATTCCCCTCCTCAGGGCAGAGGAGTCACATAGCTAAGGCCCTGGAGCAAGCAAAAGGTGCAGGTGTGTGGGAATACAGGTCTCAGTGATTCCGAATTCGGGAGGCCCAGGGAGGGCAGGGTCTTGCGTGAGGTTACACAGAGAGGCGCAACGTTCCCACAGTCCTCACGACCAACCCAACGACCCTGGCTGGGAGAGAAGCAGGGGGCTGAGTAGAGAAGGCCAGTCCTTGGGCAGCCCACCAACCAGTTCTGCCAGGAAGGAGTTAAGTGCAAGCTGAGGCCCCGCCAGGCCTTGCAGGGCCTGCCTGTCTGGAGCCTGTTTACCAGGCCGTGCTTGCATCATGGGCTTCAACGTGCAATGCAAACACACTCACATTCTTGGGTCATGAGAAATGCACAATTGCGGTGACATCATGCCCAGAGAGGAGGTTTTTCTCCAGCCTCCCCCCTGCCCACAGTCAAAGCTGTTTAATTAGCACCCTTAACTGGAACTCTTGTCTTCTTGTAAAAAACAACTGGAGAAACTATTATGGGTGGGGGGGAAGGGGGTTGGAGTGTGTATGTGTCTTAAGGGATAAAAATAGCCCATCTGGGACTCCTTTTGGGGTATTTGTGAGTATTAGCGCACCACTGTTTATATTAAATCTATGTCACACTGGACATTTTCGTGGAGTTTGGCTTGGAGACGGGACAAGAGAAACCACCCATGTCTTTTTGTTCCCTCTAGTTTTTCTTTTTGGGAGGGAGACACGTAGGCTAAGTAAAAGGGTCCTAAGAGATGATTTAGACCAACCCCTGATTATACAGCCAAGGAAAGGGAGGCCCAGAGAGGGGAGAGCGTTGCCTGAGGTCGCACAGCGAGGCTCCAGGTTCCCACACCCCTCACATGCATTTTGCAGTTCTGTCCTCAGCCCCCACTTAGGCTTTGTGAGCTGGTTTTTCCCTCTTTTGTGAAGGGAGGCACTTCTGGCTCTAGCTTCCTGGCTGTGTTTTGCGATCAGAGTAGAGGTGATGGTGGTGGATGCGCAGCTGGAATGGGAGCAGAGAAGAGCAGTTGGGACCAGAAGAGGTCTCAGCCTCACCAGCCCCACCCTACAAAAAAGCCTCTCCCAGGCTTTGAAACATCTGTTCCTCCCCTAGACCACCCTAGGCCTCCTTGTGCTCCCCCTTCCCAAGAAATCTCACCCTCTCACTGACCTCCTTCCACGAGTCTTGAAAATTATTTCCCACCAAGGGGTGCTAAATATTTTTTAGCAAATGAAAATAGAAGACGCCCTGTTAAATCTGACTCTCATAGAGAAACAACAAATAATGTTTTAGTATAAATATGTCCCCTGCAATATTGGGACATAGAGTGATCTGGGGACCCTACGTCTTTATCGTCATCGTTGTGGCAGATACTCTTGACTGCTTCGCCGTCAACCTTCCCTCTCCTCTTCGTTAACTGAGTCCTGATTTTGTCTGGGGTGGCATTGTGTCCCAGGCAGTGAGTCATGATTAGTCTAAGCCAGTCATGACAATCCTGTTCTCCTTTGATTTTCCCAGACTCCCTTGCAGTCAGGAATGCTCTGGTGGTTTTAAAATATGTCTGCAAACTTTTTGATACCCTCCTTTTCAAAAGGTGGAAATTCATCCCCTCCCCTTGAATATAGGCTAGACATACTCATTTCAAAGAGTGACTTCCTGGGCTAGGTCAAAAAAACCACTGTCATTTCTGCCTTACTCTTTTGGATGACTCACGCTGGGAGGAGTTAGCTGCCATGTCGTGGGGACACTCAACAGCCCCGCGAAGAGGCCCGTGTGGGAGGAAGTGAGTCCTCCCCCAGCTAGCCAGCCCCAACATGCCAGGCCTGTGGGTGAGCCACCTTGGAAGTAGCTTCAGTTGGATGACTGCAGTAAGCCAGAAAGATTTTGATATTAATCATATTTTTTAAAACTCTCTATATCTTATGTCGTTTTAACACCTTGGGGTGCCTTTGTGGCTAGGAAGACACTGGCCTCCCAGGGCTAGTGAATTCCTAGAGACAGAGCACAGCTTGTCAGTGAGCCTGGCTTTCATGCACAAACTAATCTGTCCTGAGTCCACATCCCCAACCACCTTACCGTCTAAGGCACAGCCTTAGCACAGCCTCTGCCATAAATCCACCCAGGGCCAGGTATTGGACAACTAGGGACAGCTCCTAAACTCCAAAGCCCACTGAAATTCAAACTAGCCAGTCCTAACCGGTTACCCTGAACTACCTGCCTTTCCCATAGCTGTGACCTTGGTGTCCTCTGGCTTCATTCTGCCTCCTAACCGATGCTGGTGTTTTCCTCGGTGGCCCTGAAAGTCATGCCATGACTCTTGTTTCTAAGGGAACTCTGAGTAACATTAAACATTTCTTTCAATGGCAATGTCCTCTGCATTTTGTCACACAGTCACCTGTGTAAGTTGACTCAGGCTCAGATCACACCTGAGGAATTTTGGACCACCTT